CGCGCGCGCGTGTGGCGAATCTGCGGGGCCGGCGCGCGGGGCGGTGAGTGCGCGCGAGCCTGGAGCGCGTGCGGTGGTGGGGGGATGGGAGGGGGGAGACGGGCGCGCGTTCGTGAGGGAGCGGGAGGGACCCTGAGGAACCGGGAGCGTTTGTGTGGCCTGGGAAAGCCCGTGAGGGACCGGGAACGTTCCTGAGGGACCCTGAGGAACCGGGAGTGTTCCCGGGGCCTGGGAGAGTCCGTGAGGAACCGGGAGCGTTCCCGGGGCCTGGGAAGAACACGTGAGGGACCGGGAGGGTTCCTGAGGGACCCTGAGGAACCGGGAGTGTTCCCGTGGCCTGGGAGAGCCTCTGAGGGACCGGGAACCTTCCTGAGGGATCCTGAGGATCCGGGAGTATTCCTGTGTCCTGGGAGAGCTCATGAGGGACCGGCAGCGTTCCTGAGGAACCGGGAGCGTTCCCGTGGCCTGGGAGAGCCCGTGAAGGACCGGGAGTGTTCCTGTGGCCTCTGAGGAACCGGGAGCATTCCCGTGGCCTGGGAAGAGCCCGTGAGGGACCGGGAATGTTCTCGTGGCCTGGGAGAGCCCGTGAGGGACGGGGAGTGTTTCTGTGGCCTGGGAGAGCCCGTGAGGGACCGGGAGCGTTCCTGAGGGAGCCCGTGAGGGACCCTGAGAAGCCGGGAGTGTTTCTGTGGCCTGGGAGAGCCCGTGAGGGACCGGGAGCGTTCCCGGGACCTGGGAAAAGCACGTGAGGAACCGGGAGCGTTCCTGAGGGACCGTGAGGAACCGGGAGCGTTCCTGAGGGACCGTGAAGAACCGGGAGTGTTTCTGTGGCCTGGGAGAGCCCGTGAGGGACCGGGAGGGTTCCTGAGGGTCCCTGAGGAACCGGGAGTGTTCCCCGGGCCTGGGAGAGCCCGTGAAGAACCGGGAGTGTTCCCGTGGCCTGGGAAGAGCCCGTGAGGGACCGGGAGCCTTCCCGTGCTTGGGAGAGCCTGTGAAGGACCGGGAGTGTTCCTGTGGCCTCTGAGGAACTGGGAGCGTTCCCGTGGCTCGTGAGGAGCCGGGAGCGCTCCTGTGGTACCGGGAGAGGCCGGGAGCGCTCCCGAGGACTATGAATGAGGAAATTCCGTTCATGTTCGTGGTTTTTCCCGGTGCCAGGCGGCTCGGTGGGGTTAAGGACCCAAAGCGCCCGGTGTTGGGCCGGGGCTTGGCTGAGCGAGTGACTCGTGAGGGGAGAAGAACTCAAGGTGCCCTTGGAAGAGAGAACTGGAGGATGAAGTGAAAAGACAAAATAAAGCTCGACGTGAAGTTGTTTTATCCTCAGGTTTTGATTTTATTGGCTCAGAAGTGTCGGCCAGGTGGGATCTCACTTAAGTAGGAGAATGCTGATGGGAAAAGGTGTATTTTCTCTCAGGGCAGAYACCCATACACGCGTTCAGTGTGCTCAGAGAGGCTCCCCTGGTGCCTGAGGTCAGGCCGACTCTGGTGACTCACCTTTGGTGTTAGATTTCTACCTCTGAACGCCTCCAGAGCAGGATCCAGGCCAAATCCAGGCGATAGTGAATGACAACAACCGGTGCACCAGCTACACCTGGTTGTTCAACTCCAGCCCTTCTTTCATCTCACCCTGTTTTTCTCACTTCATTAAATGCCTCTGGCCTCCTTAAATCAATTAGTTTGGGCTTCTTTTAAATCTGATGTCAATCCAGTTGTAGCCTAGTAATCCCGCATGATAAAAGAACTTTCTCTCCGGGCTGTGGGGAGTTTACCTTGACACAATTCTTTTGACTTATAATTTTATTCTTTATTTTGCACACCCAGATCATGTGGCCCTTGCAGCAGATGTTTATTCAGAGATCTCTGCTTCCTGCAGTGTGAATACCCTTGTTTAGAAGGGCAATGCTGATTTTTAAAATCATGTTTAGTCCAGAGAATAGTCCTGGAGGCTCTGTAGGATTAAACCTGAACCGTGCAGGAGTGGTGTGAGCAGCTCTGTAGGAAGGTCTGGGGTGGGTTGGTTGAGGTGCTGAGCTCTGGAATGGGCTCTTTCATCACYCTTTTTTAAGCTTTTTTCAGAGTTGGAGGGAAAGGGGGGAAGCAGCCGGAAATCTTGAAATAGTACATTTACCACACTTCAGAACAAACCAGATTTGCACATTCCTGTGAAGGTTCAGTAGCTCATTTTCAGGTGTAAGGCTGTGATTTGTAGCTAAAGGAGCAGCAGAGCTGTGTAATTGCACTGCCTGCATTGCGGAATGTGTGAAATACCTGTACAGGAACAAGAGCTCCAGGCACTTCAGATCAGATGGTGCCAGCAGTGCTGATGTAAATCAGAGCCTTTCCCAGGTGTCAGAGCTTTGTGAAACTACAGCTTCAACCTGCCATTTYCAATCTTGCCAAATTAGTCACGGAAACACAGAGATCAGGGTTGCTATAAACACAAATCRTGAAGCAATGCTTAGTGTGAGAAAATGGCACCAACAGTTGAAGCTTTGAGCTTCCTGCGTTTGGCAGAGGACAAAAGTCTTTCCTCCTCCCTGCAGTTTCTGTTTAATTATCTACCTAACCTGAKCTGAGAGAACTGTCACTGGTCTTGTTTTCTCACAGGCTGAGAGATGAGAGTGGAATTGCCATCACTTCTCACTTGTTATCCCAGGTGAAGGGCACGTYCATTCTCCTAAAACAAATTAGAGGTTTGGGATAGAGGAGATAGGCTGGAGAAGGACTTTGGACAAGGGTGTGGGGTGACAGGATAAGGAGTACTCACTTTGCACTGACAGAGGACAGAGTTAGATGGGATACTGGGAAGGAATTGTTGACTGTGAGGGTGGTGAGGCCCTGTCTGAGGTTGCCCGCAGAAGCTGCCCCATCCCTGGCAGTGTCCAAGGCCAGGTTGGATGGGGATTAGAGCACCCTGGGATAGTGGAATGTGTCCCTGCCCATGGCAGAGGGTGGAATGAGACGGGCTTGAAGGTCCCTTCCAACCCAAACCAGTTTGTGATTCAGTGACAACCTGAATGAAACCTTGTTTCTTCTTAACCACTGTATCCTGTAGGTTGTCCTCCAGAACAACCTGTGCGACCCCTCTTCCCATAAGGAATTCTTGCATCTTACATCCCAGAATCMGTGGCTTTGGCCTCCAATCCCTGAATTGGTTCCCTGTGCAGGGATAAGATGTGTGATGTTAAGAGGCAGATGTCACAATCCGTGTGCTGCTGGGAGGGGGTGCAAGGAGAGTTCACACTGGTGAGAGCTCCCTGGTGCTATTTTTAGTAGCTTCGTTTTCTTTCTGTTGCAGAATTAATTGTTACTGTCTCTTTGTTCATGTTCAGGCAGCTTATGTCCCCCTTCCCTTCCTCCTGCTGAGAGACTGCAATAGCTAAAGYCCTCTCAAACATGAATGTCTTGCCCAAAAATTGGCAAAGCGTAATAGAAGATTAATTGCAARTAGCCCTTGCTAAAGGGCTAAATGAGCTTTTCTTTTTCCCCCGGGATCACACTTCAGTGTTCATTTTTCTTCCACAAGTTGAATTAAAGTGAAGGAGCTTGTTCTTGCCAACACATGAGATTAGTTTGCATTATCATCTGTGATAATAGATCTTAGATAACATGGAAATTAAGGGATGAGGAAGACGAGGTTTCAGTATTCTAGGAAACCTGCAGAGATGCTTTCAAGCCTTAACTTGTTCAGTAATGTGATTAGGAATGTGAGTCTTCGTTGAGGATGCTTGTTTAAATTCTTGGATTCATGGCTGTTTATTTCTTCCTATTGTCTGTTTCATTCCTTTAAAGCCATTCTTCTGTGTTTTTCTTGTATTTATTCATTACAGTCAGTGACCACATGTGTTGTAGTTCAGGTGTCTGGTGCAGCTACACAGAAACCAGGCCCTGCACCTTGWGCTGCATTTGCTCAGTGACTGCCAGTTTATATTTGCCTTTTTTCCTCTTCACAGATCACATCTAAAGTCACTGAAACTTTAAGACTAGAAAGTGTTATGGCTTTGCTTCTTCCCCAGCTCTTGCCTTAGTTTATTTTGTAAGTTTGACAGCACTTAAAATAAATATGGTATTTTATAAGTCATTTTAGCTGTTTGAAATACCTTACAAGTGTTTAAAGGACAGCAATTAACAGGTGGATCTGGTAAGGTTTCATACCTGGAGTTATCTTAGATGTTCTTTTAACTGGATATATTCTCAAAAGATAACATCCCTTTGAGCGAATGGCTTAGAAGTTTGCTAGCAGGGTGGCATTTAAACACACGTCAAGGATGCATACATTTCCATTCTGATGTAAAATGTTGCAGTTGGTATTTGTTTTTTAKGTAAAACTCGATTTTTCTCCTCACTTTTAGGTGACTGAGTCACAGGAGGAATATGGCTGGACAAATATCAGAGTCTGATCAGATCAAGCAGGTGAGATGCTGCATTTGTGAGGGGTGGCTTTGAAAGTCTTGTACTGCTCTGTCACATACAATGAAAATTATAGGGCATAGAGAGGGACAAAACTTCCCTCAGACAAAACCTCTGAGTTACCATCTGAGTTAAAACAACCAAAATTTAAACAGGTGACCGTTGACAAACAGCATATTTTGAGTATGAGCAGCTTTTTGAAATTTCTGAGAGAGAGTAAATTTTTCTGGTGACTTGTCCTTCAGATTTAGTGTCACTGATGCAGCTGTGTGTAAGAAAAATTAACACAGATTTTATTTTTTAATATTCAATTGTCTACTTTTATTTACAGTTCAAGGAGTTTCTTGGCACATACAATAAACTTACAGAAAATTGCTTCTTGGATTGCATAAAGGATTTCACTAGCAGAGATGTGAAACCTGAAGAGGTAGGTAATAGCTTCTAGTGACCATTTGGTAGAATTGCTGTGCAGCACTCCAATTTCAGAAGATAGTTAAACGTTTTGATCTTTCAACTGGCTGCAAAGCCAGGCAACAGCCTTCAGTGGTGAGTGGGTGTCTGGCTTGTTGCTTCCAAGTGAGTGCTCCAGACCAGCTTGGGCAGGGCTTGGAGCAGCCAGGTCTAGTGGAAAGTGTCCCTGCCCATGGCAGTGGGGTGGAACTGGATGGGCTTTAGGGTCCTTTCCCACCAAAACCATTCCAGAAGTGGTTGTCAGTGCTGCACACACAGAATCTGCCCAGTCTCCCTTGAGTATTGGCTGCTCACTGCAATTCCATGTGTTTCATTCCCTGAGCTGTCAGTGGAGGTGCTTGTGGCTTCTCATGGATAGTAACTCCCTGGACATGGAAGTTGCCCACCTACAGCCTGCATCTCATTCTYTGAAGAATCCTGCTGAAATATTTGTTTACCTGCCCACGTTCCTCCTTTGTAGAGAGTCATGGGAACACAGCTCTGGCTGTTAAATCCACTTCCCTGCACTGCGGGGAGCTCCCTCATGTCGTCATCTGCAAAAAAAGATTAAGCTCTCTGTAAGATTAGTTGAATGTTTTTGYTTCTCCTCACCTTTGGGAGGCTGCTTCAGAGCCTAATCGTATTGTTGGTTAAAAATCTAATAACCTTTGCTTGACTCAGCTKGTAGGGGAAAAAAAGAAACCCTAAAATTTTAAACTGACCATTGTATTTTCTGCCTCCTCAGAGTTTAAYTCCTCACTGCAGGCAAAACTCACGTCTCCTTTCAGCTTTGCTTCTGTTGCCCTGAACAAAGCTCTCTTAGCTTCCCAAGGCAGATTTCTTCTTTCCCTAATCTTCTCTGCATCTACTTTAGAGGAATTCCATTACAGGTCATAATTATTCTGTATTAAAGWTTATTTAGGTGCAATAAMTAGTCTTAGATTCTTCKAGCTATCTGGTRTAGTGGAAGATGTCCCTGCCMATGGCAGAGGYTTGSAATGAGATGATATTTAAGGTTCCTCCCAACCCAAACAATTTTTTGATCGTGACCTGACTTTTTTGCTTCTGTGAATTGCATAGAGTCTTTGTCTGGTAGCACAGGAGCCATCAGTTAACAGTGGGACTGGGAAGAAACTTTCTTATGGGAGGTAGTTTCTTATTAAATAATTGAGATTAATACCTCCGTGCATCTCCTTTGGGATTCCACACTTGAAAAAAATCCATCTTCTGAGCTCTTTCCTTACTCATTCTTTGAAGAATCATGCTGAAATATTTGTTGCCACTGCAAGTCTGGACTTCCCAGGCACCATGTCACAAACACCACTCCCTCTGGCAGCAGAGGCTTGGGGCAGTTCCAGGAGTTGTTTCCTAGGGAGACTTTGCTCCTGCTCAGCAGGTTTGGCTGTAGCTGGTGCCAGGCCGAGGATGGAGAAGGGCAGGTGCTGGGTGGTGTGTGGAACTGCTGGRGTTTTGACATTTTCACCCCTCTGCACTGAGCAGCACCAAAGCAAGTTCTGCTTTCCCCAGGAAAAGGGATCAGCTTTCCTTTCTACCCGATTTTTTACCTTTTGCAGTGATTGCAAGGTTTTGAACCATGGCACAGAATATGCAATTGGTAGAACTCTAGCTCAGAAATAATCTCACGACTCTTTCTCTACACTTTTAAGTAAAGAAAAAAAAGTTAAAATTTAAGAAATACCATGGATGGAATAGGCCTCAGAATTTTTTTCCCCTTCCAGCTGGCTGATGTACTTTTATGGATCTGCTGAAGGGTAATCAAGCAGGTACCAGCAGACTGTTAGAGCTAATGGGAACAAGGGCAAAAAGGGTTAAACTGAGCTAGCAGAGAGTAGATCATATTTGGCTGTTTAAATCAGTGTGTGTTTGTAAACAGAATTCAACCAAAACATACTAATTTAATAGATTCATTATTTATTTGAAAATCTATTACTCAATTCCACAAGAGGAGCCCAAGGACAAAAGGATGGTATCTCCAAGGTCAAGGTGTTTTCTATGGAAACTTTAAAATGAGAATGGATATTAGCAGATGCTTCAGGCATACTTCAAAAACTAAACTTCACATTTTCTGCTGCCCTCATCTTAAGACTTAACAATATGAGATATAGTTGCCTAATTGTTAATCCCTGTATGTTGTTATGTTTTGGGTCCTCGTTGGGGAAGTGGTTTAATCACTGACTGAAGCCTTCCCTTTCCCTCTTGTTGTAGATAACGTGTTCAGATAACTGCCTGCAGAAGTATCTAAAGATGACACAGAGGATCTCCATGAGATTCCAGGAGTACCACATCCAGCAGAAYGAGGCTCTGGCAGCCAAGGCAGGACTGCTCAGCCAACCTCGTTAGACCAGAGCACTGTGCTCAGACTGAAGCTGTGCCAGTGTTCCCTGGGCAAGAACACATTTGGGGATTCCTGCTGTCAGGATGTGTGTCCAGAAGCTCAGAGCAGAGCTGTGGGCGCTGCTGAGGCAGTGGGAGCCATGAAGGGTTAACAGGAGCTCAGTCATGGTGGCCTGGCAGTGGAGTTTGTTTCCACAAGGGAAGGATGCGGATACAACYTTTCCCAGGGCCCAGACTGGTGTCTGAATTTCAGGGGTGGTGGGAGGGCTCAATTGCCTTTTGCTGAGAGTGGTTGAGATGAATCAATGTACTATGGGGAATACACATTTTTATTTAATTCAAATAAAATTAATGGGAGCCATACATGTGTGTGTGTTCTTTCCCAAGAGCCATTTTTGAGACCCTGTTTGAAAGCAGTGTTTGTTTGCTGGGGGCCCTTTGCTCAGCTATTTCAGAGTTCTGTTCATTCATTGCTGCTTTAGSAACTGACAGATGCCAGAGGGAGCTCAGGCAGGGGTGCCCTGCCAGCCTTGCCCCAGGTTAACTTTGCCTCGTGCCTCACACTGTCATTTACGAGGCTCAGAGTGTCAGAGTAGCATCACTCTGCCTAAGGCAGCTCCTGTGCAATCCTTGTTCCCCTCAGGGAATGCCACGGGGTCCTCCAAACCCGACTTCCTGGCCTGATGCTCTCCAAACACTGAGCTCGCTGCAGTCTCCTCTGTCTGTGTGCATGCYAGCAGGAAATCCAGGGTCTGCACAGCAGTGTCTGTTTGCTGCTGCGTGAGCCCAGAGAGAAGTTTGGAAAGCAGCTGGATTGGGTTAGGAAACAGCAGTGCTTTGGAAGGATCCTGACAGCTGAAATCCTGCAGTCAGGGYGTTGGTGCAGGGGAATGACAGTGAACAGGCACCCTGTGCTTCAGTTCTAACTCATAAAATACAGCAACAACAGGAACTGAACAGCAGGATCWCCAACTTTGAGATTTCAGGTGTTGAGGAGTGAACCAGAGCTATTTCATGTCAGCTGCCAGGTTCTGTTAKTTACAGAAAGGCAACACCAAGGAACGGAAAGGGCAGGAAGGCTTTTGTGTTGTTACCTTATCGAGCTTTTTATTTCCAGCAGCAGTTTGAAGGAATCATTTCCTCCCTTTTTCTTTGACTACTCAGACTCTCAGCTGTCCCGGTTGTGGCTTCCTGGCCCCYGAGGGCAGCACAAAGCCCTTGCCCCTTGCACTGGACCCTGTTCTCTGTGCTGTTGTTTAAAGCTGCTCCAGCTCTCCCTGGAATCCCTGTCCCTGTGCAAATCCCAATCCCCTGTTCCACTTGCAAAGGTGGAAGGAACCAGTGTGATCCTCCAGCCTCACAATCCTGTGTTTTGTACTCGTATTCCAGCTCTTTCCTACTTTGCCTGTGCCTTGTTACCTTGGAGATGGAGAAGAGCKCACTCTGTAATAGGAAAGGCTAAAAACCAGCCCAAATAAGGCAGCAAGTCTCCAGATTTTTTCAAAGGAATATCAGGCTAAAACTGTACAGMTTGTTTTCTACAATCAGGCCACAAACGTTGCAGCCAATTAGAATTAATAAATCCGTAGTAAAGACTGAAGCTTTCCTCAAAGCAGCYCTCTTTTTGTTAAACATTTGAAAATAATCCATGACTCAGATTTTCCATGTGGAGAGGTGCTCAGAAAAGTACCTGAGGAGTTTTAACTGATGGCAGTGGAGGATTTTCATGTCTTCTGAACAAAGTACCTTGGGGCTGAAGTGAGGGGGGCTTTAAAAAAAAAAAATCACATTTCAGGGTAGGAATGTATTTAAATATTTATTAAGACCTATTTCCTAAACAAAAGGTTAAGCAAATTTTAGAGGGACTTAGGGTAATTTATTAACTCTTTCAGGTTTGGATAACCCATTTTGTCCAAGCTACATTTCACTCCAAAAAAAATGCTGTGATCTTTTAAATCCAGATGACAGGTGCATACAGATGATACAAATATATTTTAGCTTGGAAACAAAGTGCATTCAGGTAACTAAAGCATCCAAGTGATAAATAATAAAAATGGGATTATGGTTTTACTCTGGACCCTAACAGAAAGACAACAGAATTTTCTTAAATGCTGTTAACGGGTGTCACGAGGGGGTGAATCACCTTGCTGAGGCACAATAGGTGCAGGAATGGACCCAGCTTTGAGGGAAGAGGGAGCAAAGGGTGRAAAATGGAATGTTGCTGAGGAAGGAGTACTGAGAAAGCTGTGGAAAAAAGTGAGTGGAGGTGGGAGGGAGCAGGAGGGCAGCCTGCCAAAAACCRGCTCAATGAAACCGAGCTGGTAAACAGACACTCATTTGGAGGAGATGCTCACTGCAGCAGCGACAGGAACACGGATCCTTCCTTCTGGAAACACACACAATTACTCGGCAGCCCACGGAAACCAGAACCATTTCAGCAGGAAGGGTCAAATGAGAGCCTTGTTCCAGAGTGCCCGGGACAGCAGCAGTGCTGGCAGAGCCATCAGATCAATCAGCTGGAAGATTATAATAAAGGCTCCTTGAATTCTCTCCAGGATAAARGCAAAGCCCCAATTTATGTAATCCCCTGCTGAGAGCTTCAGCTACTGAGCTCTGCTGGAAGGCAAGAAAAGGAGTGACTGCAGTGCTCTGTCAGGGAGTGTGGGTGAAACACTGAGTGTGGCTGTGGCTTCAGAGCAAGGAKGCAAATCCTCTGTGCTCTGACATACCCCACGGTGGGAACTGGAGCTTAGCAACAGCTCTTTGTTCAGCTTTTTCTCTTAGCTAGGTTGGGAAGTCAGCACGTGGCATTTGAGGAATCCAGTTCAAATCTTAGGGAGTCCATAAGCTCAGCTCTGAAATTCCTTGAATGAGTCTGGCCCAAACTCTTAAGAACTGTAAAAGCAATCAGAGCTTGTGACACCTGAATGTGCCTCATGTCTGCACCTTAAATTTCCAGAGGACAGCATTAAAAGAACTCAAAAAGTTACAATTCTGCTTACTACTAGAAGGCTTTTTAACTTGAACTTTAGGTTTTACCTGAACTTTACACTTCTTTGTGTTTTGTAGCAGCAGATTCTTCACAATAAATGTCAGGTAAAATGCACACGTACAACATTTTTACCRTAACAGTTGTAAAATTAGATTAGAATTGAATTAGGGAAAATACATTATTGAGTGCTTCTTGAAACAAAACTGTTGTACTACTGACCATGTTGCACCAGGGTGTGCCAAAAGGCACGGGGAGGTGGTTGGGTCACGCCAGAAGGCACTTGGAGGACGGATCCTGGGCCATCAGGAAAAGGGCAGGGTCACCCTCCGTGCTCAGACACACAGATACTCCGGGAGGGGCTGGAAGCAGATGATCTGTAAGTCTCTTCCAATCCAAACTGTTCTGTGATTCTTCAGAGATGTAAGAAAAATGTCTTACAGAAGACTTGGAAGAAAAGACAGCACATTTCACTGCTTACCTGCACATCCCCAGCTCCAGCAAGGCTCTGGGGCAGGCAGGACACTGCAGGGGATGCAGTGAGCAGTGTCATCCCTGTGCACTGGGACTTCCCAACAGCAAAGGTTTTATAGGAAACCAGCTCTGGGCTAAATGTAACATCCACTGAGCCTTCAGAGACACAGAGAGGAATTACCCTGCACAGGGATGCTGCAAAGTGCCTCCAAGCCAGAGAGAAATCACATTCTCACCATTGTTCAGGATTCTCCAGAGAAGATCAAACAAGGAGCACTGCAGCAGCAGCAGCAGCAGCCAAATGACAGTCACAAAAATCAGCTCACTCCTGCACTGCCTGTGGATAACATTATTCCATAATTATTCCCACAGGATTAAGTGAGGCTGCTCTCACATACTGAGTCAAACACATTCAAATACCTGCACAGACCAGGAAAAAACTGTACCTCTTACTGTACCACTGCCAAAACATTTCCTTATCAGAGAGGGATTCTCCTGCCCACCTGAGGGCAGCCACTGCCCCCAAGCTCCTGGAATGGCACACAGGAGGGTGGGAAACAGAGCATGCACAGAAGGAATCAARGGTTTGGGGATTTTGTTTTTGGGGCACTTTTTTTTTCCTTTTAAAATAGCTTTATTTATTCATAAGGGAAATAAAGGAGCATCAAGAGAGATGATTTTAAGCTACACATACACATAAACATAAACAAGTGTCTTGTTAAAACAGAAAGAAAAAACACTCTTRAGCAATATAACAAAGTGTTTCATACAAATTCCACATCTAACCCCTCCTTATGAAACTGGCAGAGCTGGCAGGAACATGGTAAATTGGGTCAAGCTGTACCCAGATGAGGGATTAGAGGAGGAGTTTAGGAAATGCTGAAGACACTGACAACGCTGGAATGGAAATGTTGGGTTGTTCTGAACAGCAGGAGAGAAACAACACCAAAGCCACAGCAACCAACCCAGAGCAGTGAGTGCCTCACCAACAGGCTCAGGGTGAGAGTTAAACACACGAGTGACAAGCACCTGCACAGCTCCAGGGCAGGTTTTCTCTGCTGGCAAAACACTGAAACAGAGAAAGTGATGCAAAGCTTCTGTGGTTACTGCATTGAGTGAGCTGTGCTGGTGAACTGAAGCCAAGTGCCACCAAACAAAGACACTTCTTCATGTTCGAAAACTCTTGGGATGGGATAAGCAACAGCACAAGGGTGTTAACCAATGTAAACAGCTGCAGGGCTGAAGCAGAACCAACCTGCTTTGAGCCAGAATTTGGGGTTTCTCTGCAATGGGAAGGAGCAGGAATAGCAGCATAAGTAGAAAAGGAAATTCCAAACAAAGACAACACTAGACAAGTCCTATTCTTAGAAAATCTGCTTTCACAATTAATACTGTTTTATCCTTCCAGTTTTCTTTAAATGWCAACACAGTGAGTATTTGTCACTGGGCTGTGGCTAATCACAAACCCCACTACTCACTGGCACTAAAACAAACACAAATTCAGACCAAAAGCACTGGAACACAAAAACTGAATTTACATATTCCTTCAAAGCAGTGGATGGGACCAATAAATGCTTGTGGAATTTGGGGAACTCACAGGTCTCCAAAGCAAACAGAAGATCCCAAATAAATCCCACCTACTCAGTGGTAACTAATAAAGGGGAATTATTTTAAACTCTGAGACCTCTTAAAAACCCATCCTATTTGGTGTGAGGAAATATGGGAGARTGACAGATTTTCTCAAAATTTGCAAGCAGTAGCTTAGAAGTGTGAGCTAATTATAAAATGTCCTTTTCCTAAGCCCTGGAATGACAGTGACTCAGCCTCTGGCAACATCCCCTTTGGTTCCACTGTTTTATTATGTTCCCCACATCTCCAGAACCTTTATCCTGCACACTGCAGCAAATAATAAACTCCAAAGAACAGARAAGGAAAAATAACGAAGATTTCAGTGCATAATTTCTGCAAAGGCAGAAGTGAAGTMAACAGCCCAACATACTTTTGTGAACACATTCATCTTTTATTTCAGCTGGTAAATCTGGCTCCTGGCTCATGTCAGATTTCTTTTAAGACATCAAACTAAACCTGCTCTTTTCTTAAAAAGAAAACAACAGCATTTCTTAGACTTACTGCTGTAAAGGAATTCCAGTAAATGCTGCCCAGAAAATCCATTTGGCTGACTCAGCTATCCAAGAGTATTTTTAATGGGGAAAAGAAGAAAATGTTATAAAAGTATTAGCTTTCTTTAAGGAGATATTCCATCTGGTTGACAAACCTGTCTGGAGAGAGAAGGCTCTCTCAGCAGTGGATATTCTGACTGAGGCACAGGAGTTGACAATCCTTAGATTCAGATTCTCRTTCCAGCTCCACATCAAAGCCATCCTGAGTAATTTTGGTAGCCATTACTGCATGGCTTCCCCTACAAAAAATGAGAATATGTAACCATTTAAAAAAATTCTGTCTATTCTAATAGTGCACCTTAAAAAAATAGATTCAAGCATGCACAAAAGCATCACCTTTTCTGCTGCTCCCTGTGAAGGTCAGATACATCATCCTCATGAAGTCACACATTTCTTTGCCCTTGTTATGCTTTTCATTCACTGATAATTGCTACTGAAAATCTGCTTAACCTCTGTCAAAACAATGACTTGTTATTATTGTTCTGACAACTYTGCTTCTCCTGCCTGATCTGTTCAGGCTGATTAAGCAGAAGAAACTTTCTCAGCCACCAGTAACCTGACRGAGGAGCCAAAAACAAGCAGGGATTTAACAGGGTGTTGCTAAACRTTCACATTACAAAATCAAAACTCATTAGTACAAATGTAGCTGATAAACTGGACGGAAAGAAAGTGAAAACAAACAAGTATGGGAATGAATCTTACCTTATGTCCTTGCACGGAAACATTCAAAGTTTTTCCATCTTTCAGATATATGCTAACACAAAGATAAGATATCTGCCAGAAATCTGACAGTTCTTTGTATCAAATGCAGGAAATGAGGGAAGAATCTGATTCTCTTACAACCCTGTTCTTTTTAACAGTGGTGGATCCCACTTTTTTTTTTCCTCCTAAGGAAGCTGGAAATAACAAGTGTTATTTTGAGGAAAACCTGTAGGAGATCAGAAGGCAGGAGGACAGCACAAGACTGCCACCAGGGTGTTTTATTTTTGCTTTCTCTTGGAAATGCAATATCTGATCTCTTATTTTAAAAAATCCCAATTCTGTATAATCATAATTACTGTGTCTTCAACTGCATAAACTTTCATCCTGTGAAAGACACTCTGGGATTTATCTTAACAAAGCATTAATAAGGGGATTATTGAAGCGTTGGAAATCATAGATTTCCAAACCCTAAATCATAGGGTTTCTTCTGGATTTCAGCCTTAACCCAGGATAGCCCAATGATACCAGTTAAAYCTTCTTATCCCTGTGATAATTTTAAACATCATAGGGAATGAGTGCAAAYGTCTAGTGAATAATCTAACTGATATGCTCCTTCCCAGAAGGATAAAACCAGGAAATCAGTGACATGCTGGAAGTTTTGCCAGTGGCTTGGCAGAAAGCCCACCTTTCCTGCAGGTTTAGTGCTGTTGGTTTTGGGATGAGCAGGGCAAGGGAAGCAGGTGCAAGAGGAAGCAAAGGAGCAAGTTCTCTCTGTCAGTGGGCTGGAATGGGTTTCCATGTTCCATGGGAGCATACCTGGAGCCTTCCAAGCAGAGTTTTAAACATTCCTAAGAGACAGGGAGCAGCAGCCAGCTGAGGGCACAYGTGGGAACATCCACTTTGAGGCACAGATCCTCCATCCTCCGTGCCTGTTCAAGATCTCACAGTGTGCACACAGGTTAGATATCAGAGATCTGCACAACACGTGATTAATCCTGTTATTTCCCCAGATTTTAGATCTGCTTCTGCAAATATTAAACATGTGACCCATGTTACTTCCTTTTMAACGAATATTGCTTTTTATTCGTAGCTATTATAAGATTAACAGTAAAAGTTAGTTCTGAAAAAGTCTTTACAGTAATTTATGGAGATTAACTTTCCTATTTAGGTTAAAGTCCAGACATTTACAAGAACAATCACTTAAATAAAAATAGAATATAAAGCCTATGTTTAAAACATGGCCTTTATTAGCGCTGTCTAGTGAGCTCCATATTTATCTTACATTGAAATAGTTCTGCTTTGCTTAAGAAAAGACAGAAAAAGTGCATTTACAAGAGTACTTTTTCTTTAATTCTCTGCGAAAATGGAAGGAATTGGAATCACAAGTTGACAAATGTTGTAAAATGAAATTTCAAGAAACATCAATTTTAGTAATGCTACGCCATCACTAGTGTTTCCTCCTGACCTTCTGCCGTGTGGAACCAGAATATCCTGATATACAGTCTAGAGCATCTATGTTATTACTCTACAGCATATTAAACACAGAAAAAGGGGCTCAGGCCCCCTTTCAATGTACAAACATGAATAAAAAAATTGATTAAAAAAATCACTTTTTATACATAATGTATATGCAAACTGCTTTAAATACATGGGTTTGGAAGAGTTATTTACAAACTGCATCTGCCCGTGGGACAATCCACAGGCAGAGCACACACAGTTGCTTTACTTTATTGGTGCATCTCAACTTTGGGAGATATAAATTTATTCGGCAGTACAGCAAACACAAGAACTTGTGACAAAGCATCTTAAGGGCAACCCAATAAATTTTGTTCCTCCAAACAAGGTTAAGTACTAGGACTGCCAAAGTTTCCAAATAAAGTTTTAGCTTAACCCAGATGCCTGCTGGCAGATCTGTGTGGTGGAGGATATGTAGACAGACCCATTGGAAGTACAGGCTTGGCTACTGGATAACTCCTCCTGAAGAGCCAGAACTGATAAGGATGTTTTGTCCAAAGAGTGAACTAACCTAGAATTTTTTTTTTCCAATTTTATTAATATTTTAAAAAATACATAAAAATACAACATCCAATGTCTGAATAAATATATTTAACAAGTTGCAAGATACCTTATTTTACACAAAAATTTCAGCTTTAGAAATCTTGTTAAATAACTTCATTGTTGTTATATATTTCTTTTTTCGTCTTTTTGTAACAAAATAAAAACTCTGAAATTACATAGAAAAAAGACAAAATATTTTTGTCAAGGGATAAGATAGTCCACTGAAAACCTATTCACAATTCCACTGTAAACATTAATAAACATTAAAACATTTGCATAATTGTGTGCTCAAAAATCCTATAAAAAGTGGAAGACTTATTACAACTGTAGTTTTCAGTCAACTACACTTCCTTTCACAATTTATTTTGTCCCATTTACAGCTTTAAAACTGGGCACATTGCTGAACACATACTTTGGCAGTTCTGTATAGCAAGTGCTTCCACAAAGAGGAACTACTCACCAAGAGTTACCCACAGCTCGGTGAAAGTGCAGCAGTTACTCAGTTCTTTTGGATAATACTCTGATGTCTGCTTGGTGCACTTGCTTTTTTTTTTTTTTTTTTTTTTTTTTTAAGATCACCCTAGAACACCTGAATGCTTCATTGGACATAACTTTTCAAATTTGATAAGTGCCCTTTCTCTGTGTYAAGAAAAAAAAAAAMMAMMAAAAAAMMAAMMARRAAMMAAAACAAACACAATGACAAGGATGTCACGTTGTGCCTACAAACCTTCAGTTACCAATGAGCTTAAGTTCTCAGAACAGTAAATTAAACAAAAGAAGAGGGTAGGAGGGGGGAACAGGTACAGTCCAGCAGTGGAAGTGTGTACAGGATATACTTGGCAATGTCAAACCAGTTGAGTGCTTTCTGTGGCTGAATTTCAGGGTTTATGTCCATGGCAGCAAGCTGCTGGCAAGGCAGAGAAATGTTTATCACCTGCATTCCACAGCCAGCACGTTCTGGGGAGGAGAGGAYGACGAGGGGCTCATTCCAGTGTCTGACGAAGCAGATGACATGGATGCTCCTGTGTGTGACACTGAACACACAGAACAACAGATCAGTGTTAGGTTATCCAAGCTCAGCTCACAAGGAAGGTTTCTTTGCTTATCAGATTGTTTAAAACACATCAAAGCAGCAGCACAGGCACAAAAAACAATAGAGTTTTTGCCAATTGCTTTCACTGCTGTATTCACAGACACAGGATTAACCTTACCCAATTATTGAAACGGTAACTCAGATGAGTCATTGCACTAATTGAAAACACTTGCACTAGGAAGTCCAAGTTTCTAATACAGAGTTATAAAATAATCAGCAAACATTTCTGCTAGGTTCAAATTCTGAAAAGCCACAAATATTCTTTCTAAAAATGTAAGCAAACAGATGGTAATTCTTACTTCAAAAMTATCAATTAAACTCGAGCTGCTTTGAGTTACTAATTTTCAAACAAATTAACTCCTCATGGGAATCAAAAAGCAAATCTCAACCTTACCTTCTCTGTCCTTCTTTTTTAATCGTTTCCTTCTCCTATCTATGGTTGCTACTTCTGACTTCAAGGACATGTAGTATTTTCGTATCTCCTGCAGTTTTTCTTGTAGGAAGGAGATCCTTTCAGTGCTGCTCATATTGTCCAGTTCATCTGTAAGTGGAAGAAAAACAAAAAATAGCTTCAACAAGGTGATTATAAACAAACAAATCCAAGCATGAAAGATAACACACTTCCTTAACTAYGCCCCACCAATTTTGGAATCCCAAAATTTCCCTTTTTCTTTCAGAACAAATTTTCTCCCAAATTCCCTGTAATCAAGTGATTTCAAGAACACTTACTGAGCTGGAAGCTCCACTTGTACACTCTGGGTGAAGCATTCTGGTGGTGGTGCTTCTCCCTGTGTTTATCCTTCTCTCCATCTTTGATGTGAGGGGACATCACTCTGGCAGGGGARCGGGAAATCTTCTGTGGTTTGGATGCATTGAGGTGTTTGACAGGAGTACATTTACTCGAACTGTCCAGGACAGGGAGGTCTTCACTGTCACTGCTTTGTCCTGCAGGAACAACAATTTAATTTGGACTTAAAACCTCCACTTGGACATTTTAAAAATTATGGTTAGAGTAAAAAACAATTATTATGAAAAAACTGCTGCTTCTTGCTCAGAAGACCCCAGAATGCACCCAAGGAATAATGAGTGATCTCAGATTCCATGGATATCCTCAGATTCATGGATATCAAACACAACATGGGTGTACTCATRGTTACTCATGGTTGATGCAGGAGAATTCAAGGGCTGACTAGGCCTAYTTAAAAAGTGATAGTCAAATTTCTTTAAAGAAACAATAAACAAACATATCAAAATTAGAATATTAGAGCACTGATTAAATTAAATCACCTATTTTGGCTTTCTAATATTAAGCAGACATTAAAATCCTTTCCTTAAAGATTATAAACCTGTATTACTATTGGCAAGTAGCACATGATTGCATTGAGTTATCAAATTGCTTTACACATCTAAAGGAGCAGCTCTGAAACATGACTAAAATAACAGAAGTTTAACAYGTAACAAAATTTTTAGCTCATACATTCAAATATTTTAGATTCCCACAATAACTGCCAAGTTTTCCACAGGCATGTTAAATATATCTCAGTACTGCATGTCAGATAATTAGTGTTTTAATCTGATATTTAAAAATACAACAACGTTGCCACAAGGGCCAAAACCACTGACTCATTCATGCAATGATTGTCAAAAATTYTGTGACAGGACAAGAGGGAATGTCCTTAAGCTGAAGGAGGGCAGGGATAGATGGGATGTTAGAAAGAAATTCATTACTACAAAGGTGGGGAGGCCCTGGCATAGGCTGCTCACAGAAGCTGTGGCTGTCCCTGGATCCCTGGAAGTGTTCCAGGCCAGGCTGGATGGGGCTTGGAGCAATCTGAGATAGTGGAAGGTGTCCCTGACCATCGTAGGGGGTTGGAATGAGATGATTTTTAAGGTCCCTTCCAACCCAGTCCATTCTGTTATTCTCTGAAAAATGAGCTACAGRAACACAAAAATCCAGATTTCTATAGAAAGTTATAAAATAATCAGATGTCTGAGAGAAAAACTGGACAAGATTCCTTTGRATGAAAACCTGTTTAGTATCAAACATTTTTCCATACTTCATAATGGCAAACTTTTTCCCATGAGAAACACCTATTTTAAGACTTTAAATGTGCCCTCTCCCAAATTCATAACCAATCCAAAAGATAAAAATCAGCATAATGGTAAATAGGTAATAACTGCCAATATGAATATAATTTAAAAGTTTCTCCTAAGTAATAAAAAATAGCTGAGATTTCCCAGTTACACTGCTACTGCAGGGCTCAGAACTTCTCTCCAGTTTATCACCAATAATCACGATGAATAAAAATGAAAAATCCTGAGAGGGGAAACCCCATCCACTGGAAATAGAGTGTAACAGTGAGAACAGTGGGCTCTTACACATGTTTACAGGACAGGGTAATCTTCCCCCTCCTCCCCCCTCAGGCATTTACCTGTTCCATTCTTTTCATTTTTGGCTGCAGCACTGGTTCGCTTTGGAGTTCGCTTTTGCTTTTTTGCCAGTGTTCCACTATTGCTGTCACTGGGTCTTTTTTGACCTACAAGAGAAGAAAAAAATMAAATAAAAACAAAACATAAGACACCTTATTTCTGCTACTAAAAACCTCTTTTTATAWGCAACAAAGAAATCTAAAACCRGACAAGCTGAGMGAGTTGGGGCTGTTTAGAGAMGGCTCTGGAGAGAACTTAGAGCCCCTTCAAGGGGCTGAAAGGGCCCCAAGAGAGCTGGAGAGGGACTTTGGGTGAAGGCATGGAAGGACAGGAGAAGRGACAATGGCTTCATACTGAGAGAGGGCACAGTCAGATGGGACAGTGGGAAGAAATTCTTTACTCTGAGGGTGGTGAGGCCCTGGCACACACAAGCTGTGGCTGCCCCATCCCTGGCAGTGTTCCAGGCCAGGCTGGATGAGGCTTGGAACACCCTGGTCTAGTGGAAGGTGCCCATGGCAGCAGGGTTGGAATGAGGTATCTTTATTTAAGGTCTCTTCCAACCCAAACCAGTCTGGGACTCTATAACCAGAAGATAAAGCAAACCAAAGATATCTTTAGCAAAGGGACACCAGYCTGGAGACACCTTCAGCAATGATTACAGCAGGGAATGACTCCTCCAGGAAATGCTCACCTTTCTCTCCCATCTCCCTCTCTTGCCCAGCGATGCTGCAATTGCTGGACGTGGTACTGGCTTCGAATCCATTGGCAGACTCGCTCTCACAGAGACCTTCTTGGGAYTCTTCTGCCACACTGTCCACCTCAATGGTCATGTCACTCTCACTCTTGATGCTCCGTGACTCGTCCTGGCTCAGGGCCAGAGGAGAGGCCACCGGGAAGCTCGAGGGGACAGTGGTGGGYAAGGCAGAGGGGGTTGGGTTGGAAGCATTAGGGTCTGGCTTTTCTGCTATTGTGTCCTCACYGCTGCTCTTCTCCTTCTCATCCAAGTCATCCAAGTCTACTTCATGGCACAGCAAAGTTTCAGGACCAATCTGAGGCATGGTGTCATCCTCATCTTTCATGGGGACGCTCTCATTTGCTTCGGCCGGACGTTGGAAGTTGTCATTCCTCAGCTCTGGACCGTGGGGAACTGATTCTGCCACCAGGGATGGCATCTCCTCATTTTCAGTTCTGAGGGACTCCTCAGCATTCAGCCCTCTACATTCCTCTGCTCCAGTACATTCATTGGTCCTCTCTTCAGATACAATATTTGGCACTTCCATCTCACTCTCTCGCCGATTTCTCTTCTCAGGTGATGCCTGYTCCAAAGTTTTCCTTTTCAAAAGCTTCTTATCTTTTGTTGAAGGTTCTGTTTCACTTTCAGTAGTGCTGGAGATGTCTTTACAGTCCAAGGAAGACACATCCAATCTTTCAGGTTCTGTAAGGGATTCATTTGCCACCTCCTCCTGGCCTCCTGGTGCAATCTTTGCATTCTCTAATGAAGACTCCTTTGTCTTGCTCCTTCTCCCTTTTCCCTTTGGTGATTTTTCAACCTCTCTTTTGATTTCTTCCATTTGATCCGTTTTGTTTCCAAAAATTTGAACAATCTGTTCACTTTCCTCAACTTCCAGTTTCAGTGTTTCTAGTGGCTGCACTTGAGTCCTGTCGTTTTCTTTCAACGCATGAGAGATCTTTGGGTTTTCCTCATCCAGCTTCTCATCACGGAGTTTGTCACTTTTTTCCAGTTCTGAAGTTTCTGGAGAAAATTCTTCATTCAAATTCTTTTCAGATGACTCATCTGCTTCACTGTCAGATGTGCCAGAGTCTAAAAAAATGTTAAAAAGAAGCAAACAGCACCCTAAATAATTAATTACAACATGACTTCTTATTTGAACCTCACGAAAAACCTCTCGAGTAATCCATGRTGTTAACATCATTTTACAGTAATAATTTTGAAAATCCTGCATTAATCAACACACTTGGCACAGTTCTTATTTTTACCTAACATATCTATGAAACTGCAGCAGTAGTGGTGCTGTCAGAGTTGAAGGAGCRTCTGGATGATGCTCTTASTYGAGTGATTTAGTTGAAGTCTAAGGTTCTCCTACTACTATTTCCCAAAAAAGCCAATATAATGAATTACAATTTACAGCCACAGAAATAGTTGTGTTTTTTTTATGAGATTCCCCATATCCCATAGATATTGCCTCCCCCATGAGACCCTACAAAACCAAAAAAACAACACCCCTCCCCCTTCATGCAGGGAAAGCAACACAACCCAAACCCAAAAATAAAATCCCTCTACACCCCAATATGGACATTTCATTGCTAAACTGTTGTACAAATGAAGTATCACCAGAGAGCAAGCATTAGTACATTACCAGAAGATTATTCAGGGACCTGTACTAAAAGGAGACAATGATTTCACTTCAGTTCTGTTCAGAGAAGCTTAGAAATACCAAAGATGTTGCTGTCATTTGTGTATAATTAACAACTCTGCTGGATGATGTAGTATTGAAGTTGAGAACTTAATTAGCACAATAAAGATTGTCATTATAGCACTGGATTTGGTCTTTTCAGTTCTGAAAAGCTCTGGCTGAAGAAAATGGAATGACTTGTAGAGTCACTGCTCCTCTGCGAGCAAAGTTTGCTCCTCACCAGTGTCAGCTCAACTATTTCCTCAATAAAATTTACAAGGAGAAAGGAAAAAAAATACCAACAAAAAAAGAAGGTAAAAAACCCCAAAAATAAAAACCAAACTTCTTTTCAAAAAAGGTACTGAAAAAACCTCCAAAGCATACACAGGACTGAGATCACTCACCGTTTGATCCTCTATCAGAATCAAACATTCCTGAGCTACGTCTCGTCTGCCTGCGAGGTGTTGCTAAAATTAAAATCGAAAGAATTAATTTTTATCGAGCAAAACGAGCGTTTGTGCTGTGGCAGTGGAGGGCCCSAGGGGCAGGGCAGGGAGCTCAGAGCTCACATGCAGCTCCAGACCACAACACCACGAGGGCACCACAGCGACCCTGGGCTCCAGCTGGGATGGTGGGAYAGCACACGCTGCTCCCTGCACCTCTGGAGCCTGATTTACCTTCACTGGTGGGTGTTTTGGGTAGGCTGCAGGAYGTGTTGGATGGAAGAGTGGATTTCAGAGGGGGCCGCCCACGCTTGGACTTTTGCTTCTCCTCGTCCTTCTTCTCATCCTTTTCACCATCTTCTTTATTCTGCAGGGGAAACAATGGATTTTTATTAATGTTTCACTGGTGATTATCAAAAAGAACCTTTTGCTCTATGAAAAATCAAACTACAGACTGAATAATTTTTTTTTAACAAGGACAGTGCTAGCTATTAAATACTACAAGGAACTAATTGAAATCATTACTTTTGTTTTTTTCTTCTGTTTTCTCTTTGGTCCTCCTTTTTCCACAGGCCAGATAATCCGATCAGCTTTCACCCATTCATCATATCTGAAAAGGAATAACAGCGTGCTGTTGTCACTGCACATAAAAATGATGTTTCAATATGAGGATTAAAAGACTTGAATTACAAAAAATACTTATTAAAGAGATAGGAAAAGGCCAACCCCCGGTTGGATGGGGCTTGTGGCAAGCTGGGATAGTGGAAGCTGTCCCTTCTCTTCCAGTGGAAGGAAAGTATTTATGAACACATGTAATATCTGGCCTCAGAAAGATAAATGACATTTCCAGTCCATAAAAAAAAAATTACAGGATGAAGGAATGAAGRTACAAACTTCCCTGTCTCTCACTAGCAAAGCACTGGATCTCAGGAGACTGAATCACCTCTGAGCTGTTTTCACATCATCTACGCAAGCCAATTCTCTACCATGCTTCATCAGGGAAATGAACCTTTTTCTTAAAAGGTGAAGTTTTTAAATTATGGCAACAAACTGAGTGAGTTTCTGAAAATCACAAACACACTAATGCCCCTCAAAATTTCCTGAGGTATTCATGAGGTAAAGGGACACCTGTAAATATTTGGGGAGTCWTCCCACACTCAAACTTTTTGTTGTCACATAAAAGAATTTGCGTAGATAGAAATATGCAGATTTGGAACTTCTGGTATAAAAGTTGAGAAGTGCTGTATTTTTAAAAATTACYAATTCTGTGGTATTTTTGTGTATATAATCACAGTGCTCTTAATATCCACAAAACAAACCATTTTTACACCAGGGCTCAATATAAAGACTGGCTGCCAAGCAAAGCATTTTTACAAGCACAGYTAACATTCAATACAAGAATTTATTTTGTTGCCAAAATTCCAGTCCTTAATACATTTAATTGTAAATATGCACCTTTACCAATGACTCCCTTAAAGGAAAGTCTACTAGTGCTAACTCTGACAGACACAATAAATATCAAGGACACTCCTGTAAGGAGTGAGGATTACTAAGGTAGATGGACACTTGGAAAAATACAAGTRTATTCTAACATTTCAATGCAACACCATTAACAAAATCACCAACAYTGAAAAGTGAAAGAGTCTGAGCCTGTTATGCTGATAATTTAATTTGGAGTCAAGCCACTGATCATCTCTCACTTCATTTTCTTAAAGACAAAAGTTTATTTTGCAAATATGCCTCTAAACCAAAAAAGGAAAGGCAGTTTGTTATCCTCACCTTACATTCCAACCGTAGTAATGAACTAAATATAAAACTTCTCCATCATCAATTTCTGTGTTTTTAATACTGGCTTCATAAATTTTYTGAGTCTTTCCACGTCCATATTTTACTTTCACTTTGGTTCCAGTCAGGCAGGGTTCTGTGTCCTCCTCATCCTCYTCACCTTCTGATTCTCCTTTGTTCTCAATTTCTTCCCTGCAGTAAAATGTATTTAAAATGCCCATTAATTAATGACAATCACATTTTAGCATTTAAAGAGAGTAGTCAAGGTAGAAAAAGGCTGCAAGAAAAAAAGAAATTAATTTTCTGTACCCTGTCCTGTCTCCAAAGCTTRCTCAGAAATAGATTTTTTAAATCAAGAACAGGACGCAGGGAGAATAGAGCTAAGTACCAAAAATATCCAGAAAGTTTTACTAAAATTTAAACACAATTTATTAAGCATACAACTACCTCAAAGCTTAAAGACTATTTTTTAAATTAGTATTTTGATAATCGAAATAGGAATAGAAGTTAACTCAGTGTTTGTCTCTTAAACASGACAGGAAGAACTGACTTCAGTTTTTAAAACACTCGATTTTGACATACTATTTATAAAAAAGAATTTTTGTACAGTATTCTTAACAGGSTACAATTCATTAACTGCACATAAGTTTGAACTGCCATCACAGTGATCCTCTCATGGATACAAACACCATTCCATTGGGAAAAAAGATGATCACAAGGGTATTTAGCCAAGCTTAAAAGTGTCTGCACAGGTCTCGTTAGCTACACCCACCTCTTATTACACTTACAGCTAATATTCTACTCAAACATATTTTGAAGAACTAAAATAGAACATTTTAGCTATAATTCTCTCCCTATTTAAGGGAGAATTTAGTATAATATAGAAGTTAAACTACAATAAATGTCACCAAGAAAGAAACTGAAAAGGACTACACGTTTGCTTTCAATGAAATATATTTGCCAACCTTCAGTGAAAGATCAGCTATCTTTAGTGGCAAACAATTCAGAGGACAAGGAACACCCACACAGCTTAAAGAAAACTCTTTGATGCCTTGATCATCTGACATACAATAAAAACAAGGAGCCTGTAGCTTCACCAGTCATCTGCAAACACTTAAACAAAAGCAGAGGTAAAGAGGGATTTGACATTTCTATTTCAACTGCCCGGTGTCTCCAAGCTGTTCCCATCCTCACAGCACCTGGCAGACTTACAGCCTGGTCAGCTTGGAGGTATTGCTGTGATAAAACACCAACACAGCCTGGCCAGATAAAATGAGAGTGAAAAATTCTGCCTGGCATCTACCACTAAAAGACGCTACCATAAAGTACAGCGGGCTCTACAAGCTTGAAATAAAATGTTCCTCTCCCTGCCTGTCGTGTGAATTAGGTTTCTGTTTTGTACACTGTAGTAAGATCTCCAAGTCTGTGTTCTGCCTGGAGAACAGCTCAATCATGGCACAGACAAACCAACAGGAAGGTGATAAAAGTCAGTGTTTACCTCTCCCTCTGCCTCTCTTCCTCTTCATCTGACTCTTTATCAGAATCCTCCTGTTTTTTAATTTTCTTCTCTTTTTGCTTTGGTGTACTTTTCTTTCCCAGTGGAGTTTCATTTTCTTTCTTYTCTGCATTCTCAGGTGTTTCCTCTACATCTTTGTTTTCTTTGTTACTGTCTTTTAATTTGTCTTGTGTTYTATCCTCTTCACCATCTTTTTTAGCCGGGGTTGCATCACGGGCAAGTCTTCTTCGTCCCTGGAACACAAATAAGATCAATTTAATGACTCCTGTCAATGCATAACCTCTCCAAATCTCAGCAAAAAAGTGAGACATGCAACTCCTGTAGAGAATGAGAGATGACAAAAGAATGGAGATGACAAAAYCCCCCAAATATTCTAAAATATTAAGATTAAAGCTTCAAGTTTTTTTTTTTATCTGCTTCACTTGGAATAAAAAGGCCAAGTTTCTGATTAACTGCTGAAAGGATTTCAGGACATTTGTTTGGACCTGTAATGCTCCAATAGAAAGGGCCAAAATCTCTTGTTCACCTACTGCATTATTAAAAGTGSTTGAACAGGACAACTGAGAGAAGGCATCTTTTCCCTTCAGCCCCTTCAACCCTGACAATCACCTGTGGAGATCACAGGCAGAAATTTGTCAGCTTTCAAAAATTTTAAGTACCACATTTTTAAAAGGCACTTTGGTACTCAGGCAGTTTCTGCTTGGGACTATTTCCAACTGATTTTTGGAGATCTAGCACAGGATTCTCATTTGATTTATTAAAAGTCTCTTGATAGGATCATTGCTTTTTAATCAGAACAGAGACCAAATTATTAAAATGCCAAAAATTTCTTACATTTCTTTATCCTTTTTTTGAGCGTTCTCAAAAAGAAAAACCAACTCAAAAATAAATGAACAACCTAAGAACAAAGCTAATGTCATGTCAGGAAGTTCACTGAGGCTGATACAGCTTGGAACAACCATTTTCATTTAGACAGAAATATAATACATAATAGAAAGTCTCAACTTGTGTTTACACCATGTCCTTTTCATCTATTAATTTATAAGGCCATACATTTGCTTGAAAAGCTGCTTTGCAAGAAGTATGTTAACAGAGTGACATTTTAGTCAAACAGAATCCTTACAACTTGAACAATTTAAAAGTAGCAATTCTTGTCCTTCAGTAGTCATGCTCTATTAGGGAACACAAAATGTTCTTTTAACATAATTAAATWAGTGCTACAGTCATATTGCAATACCTCCAAAGTACTGTGTGTCTTCCCCATGCTGTTCAATATCCTTCAGTTGATGGGGCACTGGTCTGATTTGTGTAGCTACTAATACAACCCTCACCTCTACAGCTTTTAAAGAAAAACRAAGGTTAAACTTAATTGTTCCTCCCCTTACCTTGTCTACCTACTGTAAAATTTAAGTGTTTCTTTTATTAGAAGTGAGACTGTGATAAAAACCAACTTAGAGAAATGGGTCTTTCTTTGATTCTCTAAGCCATGGYAGGCTTTTGACATTGCTTTTTCTTGCCAGAAAGCTCCAGGTTCCATGTGCCTGTGGAAACCCTCAACCACAACCAAGCCTGTCCTGCAGTGTTTTATTATTTTGATGATACACTGCTCTCAGCAGTCCCAACTCATCCCTGAACCACAGCCTGAGCAAATCCCATAGATAGTGTGGAATATGAAAAAATAATCAAACCTGATTCCATTTCCAGGATGAACATAATTAACAGTTAACACTCACAGAACTCCACACTTGTACAAGTGCACCAATTCCAATGTGCAATTGCTCCACAGGGAAAACTCATTATGGAAACTGTTCACTAAACAAAGGGGCTTTGTTAAGGACTAAACACAAATCAGCTCAAATCACTCACCCTTGGGGATCTTAGCTCAATTTCTTCCTTCTCACTTTCACTGCTGGAATAATTTTCTTCTGCTTCTTTTTTAACTTCTGTTGGAGGCATTTTTTGTTCCTCTTTCACACTTTCCTCCATTGGTTCCACGTGTTTCTGTGTGTCTTCTACCACTTTTGGCTCATTGTGATGGATGGTCCTAAACTGAATGTTTGCAGAACGGCAGTACTCTTCAAAACCATAAAGATACCTGTAGACACAAGAAAGGTCCCATTTATATTTCACAGCTTATTCTATATTAATTGAAGTGCATAAAACCTATTTTCCCACTCAATAATTTCAGGAAAGAAAACTAAAAACAAAACCAGTAAACAAACCCAAATAAACAAAAAATAAAAAAAAAAAAAAAGAAAAACCCAAATAAACAAAAAATAAAAAAAAAAAAACAGAGATGATCTTGAAATGAAACCATTTTGCACACAAATCAAATGGTGAAACAGAATACAAACAGGTGCTCCCCACATATTTAATGTCATGCCCATCCAGTTAAGAATTCATGACAGTAAAGCCATGCATGAGCTTGTTCTCTGGGAACTGCCTGTGCACACTCTAATCCAGTTATAGGTAAGGAAGGTATGAGTTAGCTTATTCCTTGAAGAAWTAATATGCAAATTATAACACATTATTCATTGTCACAACATATTTTCATGTGTCCAAACAACATCATCATTATTTCCACTGTAACAGCAAACTAGGACACGTTTACCAATTAATCCTTCTAGGATAAACACTATTCTCTGTAAAATACAGACCTTAAACATGTGCCCAGTTCAAATCCCACTGAAGATAGAATGAATATTTTCATCTTCATCAACATTAAATGAGTTGAGTCATGAGTCATCCCTACTTCCAAATTTCCTTAGGTTCGAGTCAAGAGAACCTCATTCTTCCCTTTTACTCAAAAAGCCCAATTGTTTCTTGTCAAACTTCCAGGAGGATAAATAACAAAAATAATTTTTATTTAGAAAATGAGCTTGAAAAATGTCATTTCTMAAAGGTTTCCAATTTACTACACAGCTGAAAAGCGAGGGTCAGAAAAAAAAGGTTTATGCATTTGTTCATTACAAGTCATGATTTTRCTATTTAATAACTGTCACATTCACCACAGTAACAGACACAATTAAGCCCTAAAGCCATTATTCTACAAATTCTGCAAAGATTGTATGTAAATATGTCTTTTTTTAATCAACACCCTTCATGGAGTTAAAGCAACTGGAATAAAATTCTCAGTGCATACRAGATCTAGAGATTGAAGAGTCTGTTCCTTTTAATTGCCTTAACCTGCAAAACTGAATCTGCCAAAGCTTATTTTAACAATTTCACTGGTGTCCTCTGAAATGGCAGCAGCACATGGTAAGAATTTCTTGATAAGAAAATGAGCAGAATTCTCACATCTTGGAGCAACAGGAACTCACACAGCCCTGAGCGCTCTCCTTKACTCCACTGTTTCAATTCTCAGCACAGGAAAATCCTCAGAACTGTTCACAAACTGAAGAATGTCAACTGCTGTCTCTAAACTATCAAAAACCTCTTGAATACTGTACATGCTACAACTAGGAAAAAAGAAAGGAAAACTGTTTTCACCATCATCCAATACAAGAACTTACTTTCTATAAGCAGTTTTTACATTGTAGGAAGCAGCCGAGTTCAAAATAGGAATGCCAAGGTCCATATAAATTTGCTTCCATACAGCACCACTCTCAATCTTTGGGGAAAAAAAAAAGAAAAAAGGAAATTTACAGGTTTTGTTAAGCAAGAACATTAAGGAATAATGTCTAACAGAGCYACAAGCCAATGTCTTTTATAATCATTGAACAGTCTGGCTTGGAAGAACACCCAGTTCCATCCCCCTGCCCTGGGCAGGGACAATTCCACTATCCCAGGTTGCTCCAAGTCCCATCCAGCCTGTCCTTGAACACTTCCAGGGATGGAGCAGCTACAGCTTTTCTGGACAACCATTTACAGATATGAATGAATAGACACATTTAGTTCAGGGAACRTCCAACACTTACATTGTCACACCCACCCTGCTGATAAACCAGTCTAAAAAGTTTGAAGAGATTAAGGTCCTTGTAGCCCAGAACTGGTGGTTTATTGATAGGAGTACCTGAATAAAAACAAARCAGAAACAAATTATCSCAAAGAAYAGCAAATTGCCTCTTCCATTCCTTTAGCAMRCATTTGATCACAAATATCTTTCTGCATTTTATAATCTGAAATGGCTTAAGGTATGTCCCAAGTTAGTASTTTCCAACCATCAATTAAGGCTTCACCATCTTCTGAATACATCATTTAGCTCTGGGTGGTTTATCAGCCTCCTAAGTTTATTAGCAACCCAAATCCACCTTTTTGCATCCCACTGCTCCTCTGGTGAGCAGGGAGAACAGCCAGAACTGCAGGAAGCTCAAGAGAACACCTGAGGAATGCTGGAATAGAGCAATGTGTGAAGACATTAACTCAAAACACTGTGAGCTGAAAGGAATGAAGAAGAAGCAGAGATGTTGGATTAGGACGAGACACTCAGGCAAGTTGTCAGGATGTGGAAAAGCACAAGGCCCTAACCAGACATGAATATTTGGGACAGTTCCAGGGAAAAGAAAGGACTCAAATCAGCTGAGTGGCAATGACATAAAGAACAGTAATTATTTGCAAAAGGAGAAACCAAAAGTGACTTAGGGCAAGTGGCTGCATACGTAGACAATAATCCTCCTCCCAGCAAGGAAGAAAATCAAACCTCTTCCCTGCTGCTTCGCATCTTTCTTCATCTTCATGCAATTACATTTGGAGTCATTAAAACAATTTTATAGGACTTTCAGAATACTGTCATGATTCCATGAATCAAAACATTTTTACCGAAAGAAGAGAATGTAGAACAAATGTGGTGGGAACAGAAGTCTTTCTATAAGGACAGAGAAGGAAAATAAAAGGCAAACAGGCAGGGGAAATGCCCCAGTCYTGAAAAAGTCCTGCACATTGCTCAATCCACATACTGGCTTAAAGAATCTTTCTTGGACTAAGTCCTCAAATTAAGTGAACAAATGCTTTCATCTTTTGCCTTCACAAAGTCCTGATGTCCCCACTTGTTTTGTAATCTATGAGTGTTTAAGAAAAAGAATGAGAAAGGAGGAAAACAGGGAAGAGGGAAGAATCAGGCTATGTGAAAGGAAAATTGTGGATTAGCCCAGCAGCAGAGGGATTTCTTTTTTTCTCCCATCTTAGCCTTTTAYTCCCCTAAGGCAGGTTATTCTCCAGAAACACTAGTTATGAACAAGGAGGCCTCAAACTTAGATTGGATGAGCTCAAGAACACTTTGCCATAATACATGCTCCATTTCTAAACCTGTGATAAGAACTGGCTATATTGAACACCTTTTGAACTGTTCTTTTATCATTCTGTGGTCTAGAACACATCTCACTAGAAGGGATACAGACCCTTTTTCACAAAGGCAGCTTGATTTCCCCATTAATACTAAAACAGTGTTCAAAAAAACAAAAAGAAAGAAAGGGGAAAATATTCAGACTCCACAAGCACTTCACATTTTACCCTTAGCTCTGGCTATTTCAAATTCAAATATATCAACATTTACTGTGCTCTTTTCTGCTAYGGAAATATCATTCAGGTAACTGCTGTCAAGAGAAATGAAAGATAAAAAAATAGAGGGAAAAGGGCAGTAGTTACACCTGTAATCTACCTCCACACCACAGCTACTGCAGGATGGACAGTATTTGAAATACAGGGTTGAAATGGTGACTTCATGAGTAAAATTAATAAAACCAATATACTCTAAAAGACAAGCTGGCTTGAATGCATTTTTTAAAAAAGGGGCATAAAACCTTCCATTTTAGTGTCAGTCTCATCACAATTGCAAATGCAAATGCCTTATGCAGCACAKCTCTCCCAAGCAGCAGGTACATCCTGCTCCCTACACAGAGCACCTGCACTTCTGATACAGGTCTGAAGCCAAGATTTCACCTATTCTGATTTCTTGAGCCTCACTTAATTCTGTAAAGATAGACATCTAAAATACACTATTTTATTGTTCTAGCTCCAGCATGAAGTGGAATCTTTTAAGTTCTCTCTTCAGGTATTACTGCTTCATTTGTGCATGGTGAGCACAGTTCTGCAAGGAGATCTGAGGATGCCACATCTCCATTCTCTGCTGGTTGGATTTCACCATCCATGAGCAGACTCCACAGCTTCCAGCCTGAATTAACAGCAGCAGAGCTCTCACCATGGCTGTCACAACCAGGAATCAACCAAGGGCTTATTTAACAGGGGTTGTTAACACAAAAAAAGGCTTTGTGAAAGCAAAACAAAACCGTAACACCTGAGGGAGGATTTGAGTTCCTTTACAGTGTTGTGCCATTAAAGAAGTGGACTGGAGATAAAAAAAGGAAGAAAATTCAGTGTTACCTCTGTCTTCCATAAACTTGTAAAGCTGTTGGAGGAAGTTGTCCCTCTCTTCAGGATCAAGCTCTTCCTCAGGCTGTGAAAATAAATGCRGCCATAAATGAAAACAGCAAATATGCAAAGTAACAATTTATTTGTACAAAGGCCTTAGACCAAAAACTAAACCCAAACCACTTTCCATTTGGCCCTGAACCTGTGTAACAGCGAAATATGCAGAAAACAAAATTTGCTCAGGAAGACAGTAGTACCTCAGGAGGAAAAAGAAAGGAAATGAAGGTCAGGAAAAAACATCAGTCCATGACAGAATGAATGAGTTACTCTCAAAATGCAAACACTAACACACTTAGCATACTTGCCTAACACAGAAGAGGTCTGGTATTTACAAGACTGAGAGAATTCACAGGAATTCCAAGGGGTTTTGGTCGGGTTCTTTCTGTTTGTTTGGGGCTTTTTTGTTTAACTCATTCTCCTGATCCCAAATTTAGCTCAGGTTGCAGAACGATTCTTTGTCCAGTCATTCCTGGGTTTGATGCTCCAGTATTTGGTTTGTAATAAAGCTCCAATGCTAGATTTCAGCTTGTATTTGGAAGAACCCCTTAAAGTTACTTCTATAAYTTATTATTATTATAAATTCCTTAGTTTTACCTTTGCAACTTTAAGCCTCAGAGATAAACACTTAATAACTTCATGGCAAGCAATCCACAGTGTGAAATAAAGATACACTTTATTCCACAGAAAAATCATTAAAATAAAGTGAATTTATTGGAGGGTGGAGGGGCCAGGGAGAGGAAGGAACGTCTACGTATCTTCATGGAATTTGGAGATTCTAGCAGAGAACAAAAAAAAAAAAACAAACAAACCAAAACCAAAATAAACCAACCCCAAAACAACCAAAACCAATCCTTTCCCTGTAATGCTTTCTTCATGCCACTTTCTTCCTGCCAGCCTGGCAGTTTGCACAAGGAAGGCTGCAGCTGTCTTGAAGGAAAGACGTACAGTATGTGTCAAAAAATCTTATCATTATATTATTAAAAATAACAGGAAAGTGACAAGCAGTTCCAGAAGGAAACCAGAACAACAATTTAGATTTCAGTCATCTCTGCATTCTGCAAACTTTAAGCTTCAAGGCAGGAAGATAGGCAGGGAAATGGGGATGTTCATGCAAGTGGCTTGTTAACCAGAAAGCAATCTGCCCAGCATCAGAATGAATTCCAGCTCTGCTTGCTTCACTGAATTCTGAGCTTCTAAGCCYAACAGGACTCACCTACAACCAGGCAGAGACAATATCTGCATCTTACTTTACTAATTTTTCTTGGGGAATAATTGGAGGAAATYAAATGTGTAATCACAACACTGTACAGCGTCATTACCATTTGCTCAGCACATTACAGGGATTATATAARGAGAAACAGTTATCTATAGAATTAGTATGCTCTTCCAGGTTATCAAGTGAAGTATTGCTATAGAAACCACAGCTTTTTTTTCCTSCCTATCTAGACTGCAAAATAACTTCAAGATCGAGAAATTTCTACCAGCTACTGTAATGTTTACTGATTGCAGGCAATACGGCTCAAACTGTGCAAACTAAATACATCTCAATAACAGTAAACATTCAAAAATACTTCTGAATAGTTGAATTAAAGCCATTTCTTCTGTGTGGCAACAATGYCAAACCTGAACTGTGGGTCAGAATAGCAGACATATAGGTCAGAATTGGCAATCTTACGGCCAGAATTTAACCCTTTCACTGAGACCACACATTTTCAGCTGAAGAAAAGCAAAAACAAAAGACGAAAAGCTTTTACATCCTTATTAGGGTGGGGGCATAAAACCTGGCTGCAATGTTCATCCATCTGTGTGAGACATCCCAAATTCTGCACCTGCTTCTCTCTGTGGATGGTGTATGAGCCCCATGACAGAGGGAGTCTGAGCTGTGCCTGGTACTGATGCCAGAACAGGCACCAGACCCTTTTGAGAAGCCACTTGAGCAAGACCTGAGTGACTGCCACCATGGAATAAATCATGAATCAGCTGTTCTTTTGCTTCTGGCCAAAATGAGAAAGACCAACCCTTTCATGGAAATGCTTATTGCAACATGAGGGAAAAAAGTCGTTTTTTTACCAGGGTCATTTATTTGGAACTGGACATAATGAATTCCTAGGAGTGTCTACCATTGCGAGTTAGAGCTGAGTTTTACTTTAAATACATCAGCCATCATAAAATCACAGAATAAGGTCCATTCCACCCCTGCCCAAAGATCATCCAATCCCAACCCCCTGCCTGTGGGTTCATCTAAGCTGCTGTATCAGCAATTGTAAATCTGCACCCAAACTCAAGGAAATGTTGATGCCACAACCTGTGATCACCATCAGACAGCAAACGGAGAGCTGAAATTCCCAGCATTGATTTCCACAGTGCTACCCTCCAAAACTCACTGCCCTTTCTCCAGACATTTGTCCCTATTTTAGACTGGGCATAAATAAGTTTGCAATGCTAATTGTTTGAAACCAGTTACTTCAGAGAGTTCTGTCTCTCTGTTTGATTTTTTCCTATTCAGRTGGTGCAAATGGGGGGAGACTGCAGCCAAAGCTAAGTCCAAGTGAGAAGCAAAACAACATGAAAATTTTAAGTTGCATGAATTCAAAACAGAGCTCTTTCTGTTGCTCATCCAATACCCACAATTAAAGGCAACATGAGAAAAACTTTTTAGTTTCATGATAAGAGGCTGAATTTCATTTAAATAAAAATAAATAAAAATCTCCAGGATGCCCTTTTTCCAAATAAAATATTAAAATTTTATGGGTTTGAGAATTTTTTCCTCCTTTCTGATGAGCAGGTCAGAGAACACTGGAAACAGTAAAACAATAAAATCAGCAATGAACATTATCTTCATACAATGGACATGTTCCTTTCCCACCTCCATTTCTTACTGCATTCCAAGCAACACTGCATTCATGTATTTTGTAAAATTCTTCTGAGAGTAACATGAACCACACAGAAATGTGTAGAAAACTTATGACTGGCTTTSCTTCATTTGGTTTCCAGCCACCCAATTCACCGTGAGTTTTGCCTCTGTCCTTAGCATGATTTTAAACAAGAATGTGTCTCTGTTTTCCTGACTCATCGTTTCCTCTACAGAAAGATGTTAAAGCTTCTGTGGGTGCCAACCTTTAGAGCTGAGTGGGAACACAAAGGATGAAATAGTTTCTTCTACAAAAGAAAGAATGAAAGAAAGAATGAATCTCTACCTTACAAGMACGTACACCCTGAACTCAGGCAATACTAGGTGGAGCTACCAGGGACAGATCTTTCTTTTATGTTATAAATAGACTGACAAGACCACAAACTCCTCTGTAAAAGAAATGCAGGCAAAGAGGAAGAACAGCGTACACAGGATTTGTAGTTCAGAGGAGATGATCAAGACAAGCTGTCAGAATTACAGTTAATGTAATTTTGTTACTTCAGAGCACTTCAATGCTATTTCATCACTCGCACATTTGCTAACGCAAAGCTTGAAAACTAATTAAGGAAATGACAAGAATTAAACTGATTGCAACAAGTTAACAGCTTTAAACCACGTGGAGATGAGAGTGGTCTTAAAATGTTAATTTATACCAACAAGAACCAGAAATTCCACAAATCAACAATGACTCACTCCAGAGTTGAGCCTCAATTTGCAACTTCTCTTGGAGTGACATTCTGAGAATGCCTCTTTGCATAAAACTGTGAGCAAGAAAGTCTTTAAAGAACATTTGTGCATGGTATGATGCAGGCTGTGCTTCACAGTAGCCAGGACTCCTACAAAAGCACACGTGCACGAGAAGGAGGATTAACTAATCAATGTTTTGCTATTTTTAAAGGCTATTCTGTGCATTACACATCACAGCTGCTTAGGGGGTTTCACATATATAAATCATAGAATCTTAGAATGGYTTGGGTTGGAAGKGATCTAAWAAAAATCTTSTTTTMTCTTCTGCCATGAGCARGGACACCTTCCACTAYCCCAGGKTGCTCCAAGCCCCATCCAAGCTGGCCTKGAASACTTCCAGGGAKGGGGCAGCCACAGCTTCTCKGGGCACCCTGTGCCAGGGCCTCACACCCTCACAGGGAAGAATTTCTTCTTAGTATCTACTAAACCACTTCTTTCTGGATACCATGCTTCATTAACTTTGAAATGACTGTTTTCCTGTATTTAACTTCTAGAGTCAGCTTTTTCAATGTTATTTTAAAATACAAACAGGTTGCAACAGACACGGCAATCTGGATATGATTTTACGTGATCTCTCACAGTTATTTAGAGCAAAGCCTACACAGGGAACAAGAATTATTTTGAAGCAAAATGTAAATATTTTAATAGTGGACTATCCATTTTTTGTAGAATTCTGAAGACTYCTAAAACACATCACAGATTTCTCAGCCTTCCTTTATGGACTTAATGTTAATAAAATATATGGTAGCAACTTATCATGAGAACTGAAATTCTTGCTTATTTGCAGAATAGGAACATTGGAAAACGCCTCTGGCATCTTCCCTTTTCAACAACGTAAAGCAGTTGTGACTGATCTTTTGATGCTGTTGTGATGCAAGAACCTTAAAAAAAGTTCCCATTAAACACGCTACACATACATCTTCCAGGTGACTGTCAGAAATAAGCCTTGAAGAAAATCCCTCTATGCAAACACCTGGAGGTGCTAYAACTCTTCCCTCCATGAGCCATGAAGATCAGCTACCTGGAAATTTTTTCTGAGGAAATTCGTTGCCTTTAGTCTGGTCTTCAGTGAATGTATCTGTTAAGAAAATGTACTGAAAAGATATTTCAAATAACTGCATGTTAAGATCTTCATGGATTTTTCTAATGGAATCAGAACAGCTCACAGGGAGACAGAGTCAAAACCAAATGTTGCTTACACATCTCCTTGTAAATCAGGGAGTATTTGAATATCTAAGCTGGAGAAACAAATGTGATGGATTGAAATAGATTCCACAGCTTCTGCTACCAGCACATTTACCTGTCTGGAATCCTTTGCTTYGCTATTCTATGTTTAGATTCTTCTTTCTTCTTCCCTGACAGAACAACTTAAATACAAGCAAATACAGTAGTAGATACAACTTGTTTTGAATAAAAATCAGGTAATATTTAAAATGCTTTTGTTTCTACGAGAATTTACTGGATTTAAGATTTTCTCTTTCCTTTTAGTTGCAGTGCATAGAGTGACAAATGTACTCTCCAAACACAGTTAATTATCTTATTCTGACATGTTGAAAACTGGGTAAGGACCAAAAGCAATATCCAGATTGTTATCTGGATTCAGACTAATTGAGTGAGTCTTTTAATTTTCGTTTGATATAGAATTTTCTCTAATACCTCAGGATTTTTCACTTTTTATAAAATGTGTTATTAAAACCTTAAGTRTTAATGGAAAATAATCCTGAGTTGCAGCACGTATTACCAAAATCCCAGCAATTTGAACATGCTGAGCAGTTCTGTGTAATGCAATCCCTGCTAGAGTCAATGACAAGCAATTTCCACATTGTCCTCCTTCCCAGTCAGCTCTGGACCACACAAGTCACTCACCACGGATGAGGAGGAGGAGCACCAAACCAAACCAACACCATATTTGTTCCCTCTCCTYAGTCATGTAAAGCCTGGAAACCTGGTTGTACCAATTCTACCATCTCTTAAAGATGTCATAGAAGGCAACACAGCTGGAAAGACAGTTTCTGTCAAAACAGAGTTGCAGATTTTTAACCCAGCTACTGGAAAAATGGCAGGATCYAATGTCACCAGCTACAGCAGATCTCTCTGCTCCATTATCACAATAAAAGATACTACTTCAGAAAAATAAGATCCTTTCCAGTTCAGAATTAGACTTTTCTGACTGACTTTATCTGGTTATTATATATTAAGTAGGTCTGTGGCCATTTGATTATTTAATGAAGGCCTACCATGGCTGGGCAGCAGCTGGACAGGCCCTGACAGCAAAGCTGCTGTGCATCTCAAAAGATGGGAATGGGGGGAAATAAAAAGGTATTCTTAATAATCTCACTCTCATCTGTAATAATATAACCAATTACAGTTCTAAAACAAAAAGTCCACTGAGAATGTTCTGGGAGAAGATGGACAAAAGCTATTTTTGACCTTGATTAATAAAAGGAAGCACTCTACAATATGTAAAATTTCAGTAATTCAACTCCTGTGTTTAAATACAGATAAAAAAACCCCAATCATTTACTTGTCGATTCTCTCTGCAACCAGTATTACTGCCTTTCTAAGGGAAAAGAAAATATAAATTCCTTAAATTCCCTAAATGTTGTCTATTGCAATATCTAGCATGGCCCACAATTAAAATATGTATTCTAACAGYTGAATCAGGGATTTGATTTAATGGGCCATCATAACAGTTATGCTCTGACATTATCTAAAAAGATTCATATCTACCCTCTGCTACACAGCTTCAGCATGAAGATGCTCACCTTACATGCCTACTTGTCACCTGGAAATAATGGATTCCACAGCTTCTCCTATCAGCACATCCACCTGTCTGGAATCCTTTGCTTCATTATTTTACATTAGTATCACTGTTTAAAAATAATCTCTGTTTCTTTTACAGGAATGCCTTTTTAAATTTTTTTTTTAAACCACCAAGCTTCCCCCTCCCCCTTCTTTGTTTGAAACACACAGCATTTTATGCAATAGGCATTAAAAATGATAATAAAAAGGGATACTAGAAAACTGGTACAATAATCCTTGATTTTCAGTGACTGATACTCTGTAATTTCAATCAATGTTAGTACAGACAGAGCAATACAGACTGCAACAGTTCACACCCTGCAAAATGTGGCCTATTCARTCTTTTTCACTGCAAACAGAGGGGAAAAAACCCAAAGGATTTTACATTTCTGCACACATTTCTCTCAGATTTATCTCACACCATTATTCTCCTACAGACATCCACCCCATTTTCCAAAACACTGATACCAAAGCACTAAATTCACACCTAAAAATAGATCCTTATTGTCTTTTTTTTTTTACCTGGAAAGATCTCCCCTGGCTGCARGCTCCACCAGACAGTTCCCAGCTCAGAAATCCAAGTCAAACCCCCATCCCCAATCACCACGCTCACATCACAGATTAAAACCCACGATCCTTACCTAGGAGCTGCATTCTTTCAAACGTAAAATGGTTTTACTTCCTTTCTATCTAATCTGCCCACTGCCTGGACATATTTTCAGCCTGACTTCCAAATATTCGCTCGCACTCGCTCTCTCCCCGCGCGGCGGCCGCAGTTAACCGGCATTACTTACATTCTCTTCCGTACCAAAAAAAAAAAAAATAAAATTTAATCAAATGAAATAGTAATACTAAGGAGAACGCGAGGCATTAGATGAAAGGCAGAAGGAAGGGCCAGCCCATCTCCGAGCCCCCGGCCAGCCCCGGCTCCCGCGGCCGCTCCCCGCGCCTGCGCCGCGCCCGCTCCCGTTGCCCTGGGAACGCCGAGGCCGCCGCCAAGCGCCATCGGCCATTCCGTGAGGGGAGGGAAGGGAACGGGAAAGGGAAAAGGGAAGCGGCGTTTGACCTTCCTCCCAACACGCAGACCGCACTTGGGGGTTTATGGTTCGTGTTCGCAGGGTGTATTGTGAGAATGGCGCGGTGGGAAAAAAAAAAATAAATCCCGCAGTGCCTCCCCTCCCCGCCCCTCCCCCCGTCCGCCCATGCTTCTAAATCCAACATCCAGGTTACAATGAGGGAGCAGAAATAGAAGGGAATTCTGTAAATACAACTCTGAAGACATGAAAAAACCGGCTAACTTTAAGAAAAGGAGCCACTTCAAATATTCCAATGCAGAAAAACGTTTTTCTCTCAATATTAGAATCGTGGAATCACATTCCATGATTTGGCTTAAAAGGGACCTTTAGGATCATCCAGTTCTGATTCCCTGCACAGAGACAGCTTCCACCATCSCASGTTGCTCCATGCCCMATCCAACCTGGCCTGGAACAATTYGGGRATGGGGCARCCACAGTTTCTGTGGAWAACCTGTGCCAGGGCCTCCCCAGCCTCACATGGAAGAATTTATTCYTGYTGTCYAACCTCAATTTCTCCTCTTTCAGTTTAAAACCACTCCCTCTTRYTCTGTCACTCCATGCCTTTGGTCAAAGTCCCTCTCCAGCTCTCTTGGAGCTCTTTTAGACCCTGGTAGGGGCTCTGAGTTCTCTGCCAGAGCCTTCTCTTCTCCAGGCAGACAGCCCCAGCTGTCCCAGCCTGGCTCCAGCCCTCWGACCAACTTCACAGCCTTCTCTGGAGCAATTTCCAGCAGGTCCATGTCTCACCTGTGCTGAGAGCCCCAGAGCCGGACACAAGAGGAGAGCAAGGCAGAGAATCCCCTTTTCAACAACAGCCCACGACACGTTTGGCTTTCTGAGCCRTGTACGCTCACTGCTGGCTCATGCCCAGCCTTTTATCCATGAAAACCCTCAAGCCCTTCTCCACAGGGCTGCTCTCCATGAATTCCTCTTCCAGTCTGTACAGGCCCTAACATGTCAGACAGAAAGTCCACCCACCACATCATTCTGTGATTCCCAACCTAACACGCACGAAGGTCAGTCTTGTATTGCTCTAAATAGCATTTATTGCCCTGTGAATTAGCTCATAGTTTCAGTCAACTTACTGCTTTTGTTGGAAGTTTGTCAGTTTGTCTTTTTTTTTTTTAATCACATTACTGTTTTTAGAAGCAAGTTACTTTTTATATAACCTACATGAGAAGAAAAATACAAATGGAAATTAAAACCAAAAAATATAAAGATACTGTATGTAAAGTGGGATTATTACTACTAGGCTCAATATATATGTTTTGGTTTTGACTCTCCTTTTGACCCAGAATCTTTCACTTTTCTCTGCCTTGAGTTCTTAGTTTCTGAGATTTGTCTACAATTCCTGCACTGGATAACAGGAGGCAACCTGCCACTGCTCGCATATGCCARTAAAGACAATTGCAGCAGAGATGAACAGGACTGAAAAGACACTGAAGTGAGCTAAGTCTGAGAATGAAGTGTTGGAAAGTCCATGATTTTCAGGCAAGCAAGTTCTAAATTATCCCTAAAGAATGACTGAAATTGTCCAGACTCACCGCTACTTCTTCAGTTTTCTCTTCTCTTTTTTGCTCYTCTTCATCAGTTTCTGCAGCAGCCCCATCCTCCTCATCACTGCTGGAGGACTCCAGAATTTCACTGATGTCCATTTTCCAGTTCCGAGGAACACCCTTGGTGCTGAGAAATGTGGTTGCCTCCTGTAGCCCTACAGAAGAAAGGGCCCTGGCTTTACCTCATCTGCAGCATTCACAGTCACAAAGCAGTTTTTATTTCCTTTTCACCTTTTTGTAAACCACAACACTAACCTAAATACAATGAATCCATCACAGATCAAGCACCATGGCTTACTTTGCTCTTTCCAAAACATCATCATGTCTTAGATTGATAAAAAAGAAAAAAAAAAAAAACTAAGAAAAAAGAGCACTGCCTACAGATGTGACATTATTGTTTGGAACAGAGGGAAAACAAATTAGTGAGCAAAGGAGAGATGAGACAGGCACAAGTCACGCTTGTACAATAGAAATACCTCAAATTCCTTTCCTTGAAGAGGTGSTCCAAGAGTGGAAAACAACAAAGCAAAACAAACCCAGATAACCCCAAAATCTGGCCCCCAGTCACAATAAAGACTTTGATAAAGGAGTCAGAAAAAAACCCAAAAGAACATACTGAACAGCAATGAACTGTTCAGTTTTACACAAGAAAAGGCATCAGTTTTTAACAGCTGCTGATAGAAAAACCTCCAGACATGGGTCTCAACTCTTTTTTTTGGAACCATTAGTACCTTTGGTTCCAAAATATTCCCTTGTGGCAAAGAATGTCACAACCCAATTACATTCTGCACAGGAAAAAAGTCCCTTTCTTCAATTTATCTCAAACCTGGCATCTGATCATTTCTTTTGGCTGTTCTAAAGCTACTGTGAAACAGCTATTAAGAACAAAGTACAAGAGAAACCATTTAGAATTAGACAATCAATCAAAACCACCTCAAGCTTTCATTTGAAGCATTTTCAATCTTGATTTTTTTAAGGAGCTGCTCCACACCTTTACTCAAACCACATACTGTTACTGAGTGGGGATTTTTTTGTTGCTGGGTGGGATTTTTTTTATTATAATTTTTAATAAATACAATCTAAACATTTCTCTCTAACGCATCTCATGTTTTGATGGATTGTGGCAGTCACATCATCCATTCATTCATCCATCCATCAAATTCTGTAATTATATTTTYAAATTAAATACTAATCACAGACAGTTGTTATGAACTTTACACCTAGCTGTCTGCGTATTTTTAATGTAAACACAATGTTTTGAGCAATAGCATTAAACTTYAGCATTAGGAGAGGTAACTACATATTCCATTGCTCACTGACATTCCAAATAGATTACCTTGAAAATATTTTAYTGATTTTCCACAAATTTGGAGTGGATCGAAATAACAAAATAAAAATCAAATAAAGAAGGTTTCTACTAGGTGCAATTTTAATAAGACACTTATATTCAAAGTTTCTCTAATTTATACCATTTAAAATAGTTCACAAAATATCCAAGAGCAATTAGCACAAATCAAAAAGTCATCATTTATCTGCAAATGTTAAAAGCATCTTTGTATGAAATTACTGAACACTTAGAATTGATTCTAACTTACCTTTTTTTGGAGAGGACTCTGATTTTGGTAAGTTTTGAAGATCTAGTTCCTTAATGTCTTTTCTTGCTATTGAGTAACTGTAAAAGAATAAGGTTTTRTGATCATTTTTACATCACAGAAAAGCAAACATTTGACTTAGARAAACAGCAACTTCTAGAATTTTCAAGATTCATCATTTACTTGCAAGATACTTGCTAACAACTAATTGCATAACGCATTTGTTATTGTAGGTCCTAACACAAGAGTAAGTTACCCAGAGTAAGTTTCCAACCTTTCTTTGAAATTCACTCATTAAAATACCCTTGCAAAATTAAGAAAAGTTTGTAAATGTCCTTTATTTTAAATGCTTAACCTGCACAAATTTGCAAAAGTGTAACATGCAGGTAAAAAGAATCTTCTGAACAGAAAATATTCACAAGAATCAACAGCTGCTCTCCAAAACAAAGATCTAGCTACAACAACAGAATCAAGTCCTTTATTTCCAAAATGCCTTTCTACTAGCACAGAACAAAGTGAAGCCAATTCACAGATGTGCACTGAAAGACAGCTGAGTTTGATTTTTAAATTACAAAAGTGTTCTCACAGCAAAATATATGGAAGTTGCTCTGTTCAAACATCATACTGGATATGCAGTCACTGAATTACAAGAGAAATGCTAACCAACCAGCAGAGAAAGCCTTAAAAGTGAGTTTAATGCATATTTTCTTCTTTCATTATTTCAGAAAAACTTAAGTAAAACCTCAGGAATTAGAGGCTGTCAGTTTTGGAAATTAAAGCCATTATGCTATGGAAAAAGAAAAAAAAAAAGCCAAACAGAGCAAGTCTAGATTTTACCAGTAACATTCAACTTCCATATACAAGGAGCCAGGCTTATCCAGAAGGCTGATGATACCTCTCAACATTTAAGAGGCCAAAATGAACTAAGTCTTCAGGTACYTGAAATACATTTCAGTAATGAAGTACCTGCAACCTACTAAAAAACATGGCTATCAAAAATCAAAGTTGCTCACTTTGAAAGAAAGAGAGTGACAAGTGGCCTTTGACAGGAAGTTTCTAGTTACACTATGTTGACACAGATGCAATGAAAGTAACAATAAAGAGAAATAAAGGGGAGCAGACTTAAAAAAAAACCCAAAAATACCTTTAATGCTCTTATGAATATATTAACCATGATGTAAGACACACATCTGTCTCTCCCTCTCCCTTTTGGAGTAGAGGATGGACTAACAGGACCTTTCTTCCTTTTTGCATAAATCTTTTTCAGATTCTGTAAACATTTTAATTAACAAGTTTATTTAAATTCTGTTCACTATTTAAAAAAAGTGGATGAAACCCTTATAGACTGWGCTATCTAAACAGCTTTGGACATCTGGGCACTGGAGGTAATGAGTCAGATACCCAAACTACTACAACAGACACACATAAAGATGGTAATTTAAGGCATTAAGGAAAATAATTAGAACAAAAACTTGCATGTCAAAGGACAGAAATGGTTCAAATAAACATCCAGACATTTTTCTTTTTTTAAAAAAGTTGTTGATATTTTTAAATGAAGCAGCACCTGAAGCTTTCTTGASTCAGTGAATTCTTATTACACACAACGAAAAGAAGGATGAGGAAATGGACTGCAAAGGCCAAATGTGGGCACTCAGCACCACAGAAAATTGTACCCTTTCCTTTTGGAAGAAATAATGTCTTCAGGAGAAATATATGATGAGTTTCCCAGTTTCCTCCCACAGACATCTAATCAAAATGAGCTGTCACTTACAATTTGGAATCTGTGAAGGATCGAACTAAACACTGGTCCTTTTTCACAGTAACATCGTCATTGCAGCTCGGTGACACAACCTGAAGATTCAATTAAAACATTTCTTAATTAAAAAAAAAAAAAACAAAAACAAAAGCTGATCTTGAAAGGAAAGAAAGACAGACTGCAGAAAAACTTATGTTTTCCTGTTTCTGCTACTACATTTCCAGTTCTGGGAAAATAAACCTACTCCAGTTTATACTACTAAGGCAAACAACAACAAATTTCAAGAAGCAATTTACCCCAAACTATTGACTTGTCATGTACAAATCAAAAAAGTTTAAAATTTCATTTGGAAACTCAAAACTGATCTACTGAGGTCACATCASAGGATCATGTTCATTCATTCCTTTATTTGTGTTCACACAGTTTYTYAAAAGYATCTATTTAAAAAGTTGCAAACACACTTATTTCATACCAGCTTCTGAATTTTGACGTTAAAACTGGACATAAGTTAGTTTTTGGTTTGTTTTGTTTATTGAGGTGTGGATAATATAAACCACTGTGAAATCCAGCATATCCTTCCACAGTAGTATCACCCCTAGGTCTAAAAAAAWTGATAAATATGCATTTGCAGTATTTGTATTACCACAAAGAGAATAAGTTTATGTTTTGCTGCGTAGATCACAGGCCAGAAGAAATGTTAAATGCAAATACATGACCCCCAGGAACTTAATCTACTAATTAAGAGCCATGTTAAAAAAAAATCTGCCATTAATAAAGGGAGCTACAACCAGAACATGTACAATATCACATTTTAAATTGAGGTACTTAAAGGTACCAGTKTCAACTATTCACCCTACATTACAGCAGGCAGATAATAACAAAAAGCTTTCTACAGAAAGCAACTTTTAATATGCATATGTAAACTTTCCTGTGTGTGTCAATAAGCTGCAAAGTGTCTACCTTTACAGTACAAATCTACTTTGACTTGAATTTATTTAATGTATATTCATTATCAGCAATGGCAATGAACAGATGTATCATTTACTGACAGTCAAATAAAAATAACCACCAACACCTGCTCCTAGAGCAACTGACCACTGGTGCAAATGCAAGCATCAAAGAAATCAGTATTTCACAAAACTGAAAGTCTAAAGAAAAAGACAATCATTATGTTTAAAAAAAAAATTAAAATCTCACTGCAAATAAAATTCATAAATCTAGATCCTCTTAAATTGCCTGGSAGTGCAAGTCCTAACATATTTTATTTTTAGAAGAAAAGTATCATTACACACTGATCATTTTGTATGCAGTTCCAAAACACTATAACACCACAAAACTGTAACTTATATATAAATGTTAATCTCTGCTTTCTTACTCTTCATAGATACTGCAAAACACTTGTATTTTTAGCAAACATGGGAGTAGAGCTTAGCCTGACTACATTCACAGCTTTGCTGTAAAAGAACTCACCAAAGCTGGGTACCAGTCTGCCTTCTCTGAATTACAAGTCACACTCACAACCTTGCCAAGCAATTCATCGTTGAGGCGCCTCTTATCTTCATCCTCTTCTTCACTGCTTTCTTCTTCCTTTTCATCTTCAGTGCTAAATTATCAAAATGACAATATTTTGARGTTTATTTCTTGAATTACTATTTGGAAGCACAACCAGATTACAACTGGATTTTTCTTCCTCTTTTGCAAAGCTCCAAAAACAGAATTTTAAGAGCTGAAATTGCTTGAAATACGCTTAAATATTAAGTGCACTTAGTAAGAGGAATTTTGTAGAAATTCTTTGCAAGTAGTAGTATTTTACAACAGCATCATGTTAGAATTGGAAACACGACTCAGGTTTTGATTGTGCACAGATATGAAAAAGAAAAATGGTCTCTCAAAAATTAAAAAGCAACTTTTTTTTTTTACTTTATGTGGTACAAAGGTTAAAAATCCTACATTTCCTATTAGACAAAAGAAGAAAAAAAACCCTTCATTTTCATAGCATTGCCAGCATATGACCATGTCTGCAAGAACTGAATATTTAAGTCCATCAGCTGTGCACACAATTCAGGTGATAGAGCATTCAGAACACTGCAGCTTCAATAGAACTGCTCCAGTTTTAGCAAAAGACACTAAAGGAAAAGCAGAACACTCTCAAAACTCACACAGGAAGAGAAGATCTTCTCCCTCTATTAGACTTCTTCCCAATAACTGGAGTTCCAAAGTGCTCTGGATTGGTTAGTGGCAGTTGATCAAGTGTCTACATGGAAAAGGAGGAAACAACRTTAGTTTGCAATATCTTATATAAAGATATTAATTAACTACTTAGCTTTATTCCCATTTCCACCATTGTCTTACCTCACTTTCTGCAAAGTGCCTTTCTCCCTTCAAGCATAATGAAGTTCGTCTCAAGGTCCTTTCATCACCATCGTCAAAAACTATGATGAAGCCAAGAAAATGTATCAGCACAGGCTGATCACATCTCAATCCCAAGCCTATTGTTTATCTCACAATCAAGAACATTGTCTAAAAAATGACTTTCAAGCCTCTATTTACTCATTCTTTCACAAGATAAAGGAAGGACAGTATTCAGGATTCAGTCTGAGAATAGATTTTCACACAGAAATTCAAGCCAGTACAAATTAAGGCTTTGGATGCAAGTCACAGTGTAATCCAGACATTCTTCTTATCAATACAACTGCACATTTCAAACCACAGCCACTGGCTGCACACCAGTTACTAYTATCTAGCAATCTTTGGGGTTTGATTGGGTTTTTTCCCCCCACAATACCTATTTATTTCTCACTTATACCTCCATTTAATATGGTATCTTTTCATTCTCCCTCTTGCTATGAGCAAACAAAAAAACWGATCAATGGAAAGAAAAACAAGTTTTTTTAAACTACCAGTGCTGTCTCACMAACAGATCAAGATACTGGAAACCTGCAATTCCAAGTCTGACCACTTCATAAGGAATATTTAGCAGACATCCTGTCGTGTTAAATCTCATTAATAGGAAGTTCCATAAATTTCCATCAATACACAGAGGAAGAAAGCTGGAATGCTATGAGGCGTATACTGCAAGCTTTGCCTGAGAAATATCTACTCCTCAGTCAGTTTGAATAAAACCTCTTCATGAAAATTTCGTTGAAGAGAAGGAAACAAAAGTTACTAATTCTCCCTGACTCCAAAGAGCAGTGCCCAAGCAGCTGCAGTCTGGAATCCCAGAAAGGTACAAGTTTATTTGTATGGGGTCAAAGTGCAGAAACTGCTCTGTATTTAAACCACTTGAAACAGGCTTTGTCCACTTGTGAGCTCAGTGGGGGGAAAGAAGAAARTTTTAAGAGTTCTGCATATCAGTATGGTAATTTTGGCATTCTTATAAAATTAATTACATTTGATAAGATAAGCTTTAAGGCTCCTCCATTTTTAGAGTAGATACTGTTGTGGTATGCTCCACTACTGAATTATCTTAATCTTAGAACACTTRTACACACAAAACAATTAACTGTTGCCCCTCCAAAAATCTCCAACTACTAAATTTTCACAAACAATCATTTTAGGGGACAGGCAGCTGGTGATTGGCAACCGATAACTTGGCTGAAGAAAAGCAAACAGAATCCGATACTTGACAGTAAAACTAAACTGCTTTTTTTAATTTATTATCTCCAAAATTGGAAGCTCTACCCATTTATTTAAAGCTATTGCAGTAAAAGGATAAATCAAACAAACTATTCATAAACCAGATGACATATACCAGTGTTTCATCCTTAAAAGATAAAATGTTAAAAATACTGAGGGTTAAGTAAAATACCCTCAGTAGAATACACTAAACTCAAATTAAAACACATAAGGAAATTATGACAATTAAGAACTGTGTGAGATTTCTTTCAATTACAACGAACATGCAAGTTAACTTAGAAAATCACAATTAGATATGCCTGACCAATATGAAACAATTATAGACTGTAAAAAATGCAATTGCAGAAGTGTCAACTTCACAGATTTGTATTTCGCTTCCATGGACAAAAAAGCACTGAGGGAAAAAGTAACTCATCCTGCATGATTAAGTTTTCCTAACCATTCCACAGACCCAGAGACATGAAAGTGTTACACTATGTTTTCAGAGCCTGGCAGTCAGGCTTTCAATCCCATTCCCAACTACATACCTGAACTAAGACAAGTCTAGCCCATGCCTTTTTCTGTAATTTTTCTGTTTTCTCCTGCTGAACTTGCAGTACAGAGCTTGCCAGCTCTAACAAAAGCTGTTGTCCCTTGCCATACAGGGAAAGACAGAGTGCAAGGCTGCTCTACATTTTCCAGAACAAACAACTCACCAAAGTCCCCTCTGAAACCCCTCTCCCACCCCTAAAAGGAAAACCTGTGTCAAAGGATAGAGTGCTTTATTCCATGAGAGGCAGGTTARGACACAACTTTTGGAAAAGAAGGCAGAAGCATAAATTCTCAGACCTCCTTCCTAAACTGCAGCAGGCCATGGAATTGGCATAACCATTAAATAAAAGTATAGAAAAATATCTCAGTTCAACAGTCATGGGGAAAAGGAAGTGCAACCTAAGAGTGTGTGATTCCTTCAAAGCAATCAAGTCCAACATGCTCCATCTAACCCAGCATATTGTCTTCCAAGACTGAATTTTCTCTCTGCTCCACCTCTCATTCAGATTAGAAGAATGAATTGTCAATGTACTCAGTGCCCCAAGAGTCTCTCCTAAGTATACATTAACACATATATACACACACAAGAAACCAAACATTTTTATCAAGTCTGTGTGTAGTTACCCTACAGACATCTYCTGCTTAATATAGAAAATACTTTAACACTACTACAGCACAATTCACAACAGTGAAAACTAAGTGCTGCTATATAAGAGGAAACCACAGAATATCATTATTTAAAAATACTTTGCCTTTTTAAAGTGATTAATAGAAAAGTGACTGATACATTTAATTTTCTRTCTTGCTGAGGCAAGGTGAAAGAAGCATGAGGGGCAGAAGCAGAAGGCACTGATACWTTTGGTACTTGAAAGATTTAATTGTTTCAAGGATAAACCAAAAAGACCATTACATCTTTGAGATGTAATTGTCTGCTCACTCAGTAAAAATTCATTTTGTGGACACGTGCAAAGCACCTSCAACTGACAGCGTGGCTGCACAGCTTGGAGCAAAACATTTTAGCAGAACAACAAAGTGTAAAAGAACAGCATGAACAGAATGAATCCYGCAGCCAAATTAGTGATCACTTTATTAAGTTTCAATGAGAAAGGACAGCACCATTTGTCATACAAAAATATCAATTATTTGAGTTACTAAGGTGGGGCCAAGTAAGGAGTCTCTCYAATTAATCATGATGCTTGGAGTATTTCGTAAYTGTAGCTACTTTAAACTTGCTTCTTCCTCTAGGGAAAACACTTGACTGTGCTTTACTGAAAGGGTAATCAGAAACTCACACTGATAAACTCAGCACCTTTAAAAACACAACCCTTTCTTTAACTAAGTAGGCCTTGTGGTTTCCATGTAACTCTTAAGAAAGACCTGCTACACCAAAGTACTTGCTCATATTCGTGTCGCCCTGTGCATGACTTTTTAATTCTAGTCCTAGAGGATTTAAGGCAGTGTCTTTCCAAGCACAGTATCAAATATTAAGGATTCTGTAAATATAAGCAGTAAGGCAGATGGCACAGTTTTTGGCTATGAGATATTTTGAAGCTGTGATAGCAGTCGTGTCAGAATGAACTTAATACACTCTAAGCTGCAAATTCATTCCTCTTTTTAATCTCATGCAGAACTAAGGCTGTTTAACTCTAGTTAAAATGCCTAGAACTAACAATCAAACATTTACAAAAATTTGTAAATTAATGTTGATTAACTTATATTAATTACTTCATTCCTTCAAGAGGTTATTGGTACAACTCCAAATTCTTCAACAGCAAAAATCCTAAAGGTTGTATTCTATAAGGAAGAATTCACTGGGCAGGGAGAGGGCAGGAAACAGGAACAGAATACAGTGAGACATCTCTCCACACACACACACAACATACACGGAATGAAGTCATCAAAGCATGTGTTTACACTGTCACGATACTTATCTCAACAGAGGAAATTACAGTCYTGTGTTTCCAAAGAAACAAGTGTGAAAAAGAAGAAGCCCTTCAGCTCCTACCATTGCCTCATCTGGTGGTGGGCAGGGGCTTGCAGGGGAAACAGAGCACAGCAGCTGATTTCTGGGAAGGGAAGGATACAAACTAACCAGGGAAATGCTCGCTGCTATTGAACAATCAGCAGAGCAAGGCGGGAATCAAGGAAGGAAAAGCAGCATTTCTGCCGGGCAGAGCCTTTTCTTCCAAACATGTTCCTTAATGAGGAACACTGACAGAAGGGGAAAAGAGATGAGTAAGCAGAACAACCTGGAGGAACAGTCTCTGCCATAATGCTTGGTCTAGTCCCAAGAACTGAGTCCAATATGCTCCATACAGAGCATATTGAAACAGTGTCAATAACACGGAAATGTTCAGAATTTTTGATGCATCCCGACCTTGTCTATGATAACAGGAAAGAAAAAGAATTGGTTTTTTTCTATTTGTTACAATCTACACAACCCCAATCCATGACAGAAAAATAAAAACAAATTTTCCAGTGGTAATCAATACAATGCTTCCCAAGAATTAGAAAMGAACCTGACTAAAAGTTAAGTACCTCAAAAATGCRCTAAAAAGCACAACTTTAAACTCAYTATYGATGAGCTGGTMTCTTCCATTTCCTGTCTGTAGCAGACTTGTATAAACCATCAGCAAAAATATACTAACCCTGTCTTTACAATAAGGTTGTCTCAACATTGGTTTTCATGTATTCAAATACATAGTACTAACAAGTCAACTAAGTCAACTATTCAAAATCATTTTAGGAACTGTGAAGAAGCTTGTCACAAAATACTGCAGATAATTTGACTACATCTTGTTTAGAAATATATATAGCTATATTATAAATAGATTTTAAAATAAAGAGAGATACAGAAAAAGGAGAACATAGCAGAACTCGAGAGAGAACATCCTCATAGTAGTTACGAGATGACTTCCACACAGAGCCACMAGTGTAACCAGAACAAGGCAGTTCTGTGACACACGAGTGGACAGAGAAAACAACCCTCAAGGCTGCATCTTGCAAACTCCAAATCCAACAAATTGTGTTACTGCTGCTGCCCAAACCAGGAGAGATTCTACACTGCACTGCAAGGAAATAATTTTGTCTCGTTTCCCAACCCATTGAGAAACTTCTAAATCACCAAAACAAATGAAATGCAAGTACATACCACAAAGTAAGAGTGGCTCCAGTGTCATTATGCACACTGATTTATTTTCACTGGSTGCCTGACAAAGTAGAAATTTATGAACTACAAGAGATGCTATCTGTGAATATCTCAAAA